ATAATAATAAATATTGTTATATTTATTATCAGTCAAAAAACATTGATTTTAAAAATTAAAAATTGTTCTTTATATTATTTTATATAATATATTAATATAATATAATATAATATTAATCAAATGGGTGACGTCTTATTAATACACTTTTAATGTTTTAAAATAAAACACTAAAATTTACAGTGCAATAATAAATCTCTTCTATCAATATAAAAATAAAGCGTACATCTACAAAAATGACTGAGTTGCTAAAGAGGAGAAAAAATTTATTAACTCAGCAATGAGGATAAAATGATTGAGAAACGGAGTATATTTTTATGATCTAGAAGTTAAAAAGTGCGCCTAGTCAAACATATGAAATTAAATTAAACGGCTCGCGTGATTCCGAGAAACATATGAGCATACAGGTATATTATACATATAGAGTCCGATGACCCTGACGACATGGTATATATATACATACCAACATTTCTATGTATATTAAATGTACATATATGAGTATGAAGTGTGTATGATGTGCGAGACTATGACTTGACTGGTCGAAGAACAACATTGGAGTAAAGCGAGTAAAGTTAATAAGTCAACAAGGGCTGGCCGTGTGGAAGCATCTTTTCTCATTTTTTTTTTAACTTGTTTGCACGACTTCGAAGAAACCCGTTCCATCTTTTCACCGGACCATTGGCCATCACGCCAGTTTACTTAGGACGCGATATGACAGTACCATACGGAGAATATATATGAGATGCAGGCTCAAATTAAATATTCAACCTAAAGTACGCGCAGATTTTGTCTCAATTCCATTAGCCATCACTACCTTGTTTCCTCTTCACATCATCATTTATCATCCATTAAATATTATCATCTCATTTATTATTATTTACTAAAATCAATATTAACCAAAAAAAAAAATATTATTGATATTAATTCCTAAAATCATCAAGCAAGTTTCTTTTAATCATTACCGACAATCTCTTAAAAATTATTTATTCATCTTAAATTTATAAATTTCAATCACCGCAAATCCAGAAAAAATTAAAATATTTATTAGTAAAACGCTTAAAGTGTTTAATAATAAAACATCTAAATGTTTACAATATTGAACGCTATAAACAAACTATAGTATTTTGGTAAACGGCAAGAAACGTTTAAAATTCGTCGACAAAATTACTATAATTTGTTTATGTAATTCAATGTTGTAAACACTTTAAATGTTTAGTTTTTAAATACGTAGATTTACAGTGAATAGTGAGTGAAAGTTTGTTAAATGTTTACATCTTGTTAGAAGCACAAAAAGTATCAACAGATGAAGATACCATTTTTTTTCTAAAGGAAAAATTCTGAAGAAAAGAAGAAGAAAAAAAAAATGAGATGATAGGTCTTAATTTTGATGAAAAGTTTTGTAAAACATCTTAAGAGCGAAAAATCGGTTGAACACAGGCGACACGTTAACGAGAAATACAACTGGCTCGTGCCGATTGGGTCCTATTATTATATTAGGTATGTAGGTACATCTACCTGGAACGTCGGATTTGGAGTTGCACGGTTTACATCACGCCGCTTCTTTTTCTAGCATTGAAGAAGAAAAGAAAAAGAGCGAGAGAGAGAGAAAGGAGCAAATAAAGAAGGAAAAAGCCGACCACAGTGTGTTGACGTGGTACAGCAGTCGTTCTGTAATATAAGCTTCTTTTAATACTTGACGGTATACCTTTTTTCAGGCAGGGGTGGAAACCAATTGGGTCGCTAAAGCATAGTGGAGTTTCCCACTTGACTTAAACTTCAACACAACAAACACAGTGTGTTTCCGGGTTTTGTTTCATTCAACCAATGTTTCGTTATTTCTAAAAAAAGCAGTATTTATTATTTTTTTTATTTCCCCGTTTATTTTATTTTTTTCTCTTATTCCAAGTACGATCGATATCGGTAAATGTGTAATTGCACTTTTTACGAGGGATACCATGGAAACCTGTGGTTCGAGATTGCGCCAACGATATGCTCTTGAAGAGAAATAAAAGTGGGCGTGATGTTAGATCGTCGTTGAGCCAATCCCCAACGATACTTGCTTCGTTTTTTATTCGACTCCCACCAAAGTCATCACTTGAGTCGTGATCCCCCACTTATCGTCAATATTCCTTTTGACCAATAAGCTTTCCTTGATTTTACATCCTTATCACTAGTTTTTAACTACTTCATTAATTAATTCGTCATCATTATTCTCTTTGCTTTATAACTTTAACGCCAGAAAGGAGATGGAAAATTTTCTATCTGATGCTCAACCACATCTATCATCTTGGATCAACGAATAGCAAGACCACAAGAGTGCATAAATAATGATTGTTTTATTCAAACTAAAGGCAATAATTTAATTTAAAATTCCAATACATCAAAGAACTGCACGGAGAGAAGAGTTTAGTTATAATAACTAAACGGATTTAGTTGAAAGATTTATCCAAGTATTTGGTAATTATTAATTAATGTTATTAATAAATACTTAACGCATAGTTAAAAAACATAAGTATTATCAATTGAATGAATCAATTGATTTATTTCGGTATATTTAGTTCACATAATTAATTATTACAATCCCACCAACAATATGTAATGTAAAATAAATTATTTCAACATCATGATGTTGAAAATTAATGTGATGTACATTCGAAAAAATTAATAATTGAGTCTCATAGTTGGATTTACAATCATGACAAAAAATAGTTGAGTCTTTTTCAAATTAATAACAATAAATGAAACCATCTATTCTTTTATAAATTGAAAATGAAATTAATTGAATTGGAAAGCTTTTAATACTTGAAGTGAATTTCTGTGAGTCGAGATGATTATTTATTTTAGAGTGAACAATAAAATAAGTAAACATAGATAAGAAATGGATGTAAAACAGAACAAAAACAAGTATATTATAGAATATTATATACTGCATTAATTCATTGTCACATATACATTGTGTGCAGGCTGAAAAATTACATATAGGTAATTTTGAACACGCAATACATCAACCCCGAGTAACTTTTTTCATGCTCTTCACATCTTATCCGATTAAAATCGCATCGAGTGTATGATATATCGCGTCACGATTTTGACTTAATTGTCCATAAGATGTGAATTTTATGGTCAGCGGATAGTCATGTAAAAACACTGTATGATATATAAATAATTATGAATACTGATGTAAAATAGATTTGCACGCATCATAAAAAATATATAATACATTGATAGAAAGCAATGATCATGTGAACTTAATGAAAATGTTATATTAATTGATTATTTGGTTATATTTACAACTGATACTGTATAAAATTGGAGTAAATTACATATGTAAACATTTAAATATTCATATAATCTGCATAGATGAAATGCAAGTCGTGACAGAACATCAATTTAAAAGATCGATTTAACTGTTCAAGGGCGAGGATGAATTTGTTAGAAACAGAAGATAATATTATTATTATTTTTTTTTTTTATCTTCATTTATTTTTTGGAGGATAAAAATGCATAAAGAAAGTGTTTTGCAATTTTAAGGTGGTCCCTCAATTCCAATAAACCGTCCCGGCCGCAAATTACCTTTGGAATCTAATTATAAAAGTTTTATAGGGCTATCGTAAAACGCCCAAATATTATCCTCAACCGTTTTGTTGAAGACCGCACGGACTGGACAATTATAATCGCTTTTCAGACGATGTAGGTATAAAATATACCCATTAAGAATATTGTAAAGGCTATATAATCCATGCAAAAATTTTTTAAAAATTGAATATGTTAATTTTTTATCATAACATTTAATACTTGGATATGGATTTTTAATTTTTATTCTAAAGTAATTGTCGAGTCAAAAATAAATGTGACAATAATTATGATGATATCATATTAAGTAATTCTTTGAATCAGTTTGCAGTAATATTCACGGTTATTACAAGGTAAAATATTCTAGTTCATTTCGATCATTGTTTATAATTGAAAAATAATTAAAATAAAAAAAAAATAATAATGGTGGCATTTAAATTGAAAATTTAAATTATTATTATGATAATAAGAATTTGTTTAAGTGTTAAAATAAATAATAATTGATGGAAAAGAATTAATTAAGATGAAGACACTTGGATTAAATAACAAAGTAGTTCACAAAAAAGTGCATATGATAGCTAATGAGATAAATGATACTTGAGAATAGCGCCACACATCAAACATGAAGTGGATGTGACGTCATGATATGGCGTCGTTGCACAGGTAATGCACCGCTGAAATAAAATACAACCACACAAGAATCCCTAGGTGATCGGACTTGACTGACCGATCGGATTGGCCGAACGGGAAATCCCCGCCTTTGCGCCACAACAAACATCTCGCGAACACGACGAATAGACGGGGATTCAATTCAACCAATCCCTTGACGATCTGGCAAGTTTCTACTGATAATAAGCGCGGTCACGAGGCGCATGTCAGATCATTGATCTTCTATTTAGTTTTTTTTATTAATTTTATACTCTCATATATCTTCGCGAGATACACATTTAATCGGTTCTAGTATTTCCATCAGTAAATATTATGATACAATTCTATTTTGACAAATATATTAACACTAATCATTTTATTTTCAACATAAATTTCTATTATTAACCATAATTGTGTTATCTTCGTTGAGAGTAAATATTACATGGTATTTACGTTGTTATAGAAATTTAAAGAATTTTTTTTTTCTAATTATTTACATTCAGAGTTATGATTTATAAATGTTATCAATTTATTCAATTGATTTTTTTAATTATCTTTACTTTTTGAAATAAAATATTTATTAAAGAATTTCAATTGCTTTTAATGACTGACTAAAAGTAATTTTAAAATTATTTTCTTATTTAGTTTTGTTAGAAAGTATTACTCTATTTATTTAAAGAATTTATTATAAGACTATTTACTGATGGATAAAATAAGAATATTCTTGGGAAATTTTAATCGCAATAGCCGTAGATTGAAAGGTTTAAAAGGTAAATACTTACCAAAGGACTGTCTGGAGTGTGTCCGTGATGAGGTAAAGGAAGGTTAGCCATGGTAGCCCCTCCTCCAGGGGTACCTATGTCCTGGTAATCATCACTCATTTCCATCGCGTAGGATGGCAACGGTTCTCTGTTCTTTACCCGAATTTTGGCTGATTTTTCCGCGCTGCGGTCCCAATAATATCCTACAATTAATTGAATCCCACTTGTTTATGTGAGGATTAGTTTTGAGTTTTGTACACACTCAAGTACAATTCGTTGATATCAAACTTGTCAAAAGTTTTGTCGATGAAAATACGTATCCCGTCGATCAGATCGTAATGAAACAAATTCCGTGTAACACTGATATGTCATTAAAGACTTTTCAATAACTTATATAAATTTTTCATCTATTTATTACACTCATGAAATTCTTAGTAATTTAAATTGAAAATAAATGGTGCTCCACTTGAATGTAAATGAAAAATATGACTGTTTATGATTCACAACGTATAACAATAATCATTGAATAATTTCTCAACGAATTATAAACACTATTTTGATGTGTAGAAATATCGCGCGCGCGTTTTCCACCTTGAGTTTAGAAATCACTTCACCAAGTTGTAATTATCAATGATATTCGATTAAATACTCGGACCGATTAATTAATAACGATACCGATCAAAAGATAAACCGTCCGTCATAAAAACTATTTCTATTGACGCCGGTGTAGATGAAAAATCCCGCGAAACAGCCGAAAACACGACACAAATTACCGGAACGCTTTAAGTCACTGTAAAGGTGATGCACGCGCGTTCGCGTTCTCTTTCGATCTGAACTGTAGAAGATCGAGCTACCAGCATTCTCCCCACTTCTTTGATGCATTAAGGAGGTGGAGCTATTGTACATCATCGTGGGTGGGAGGTTGCTTATCCCGTCACGCCCTTCTTTCTCTTTAGCATCCACCGCAAGCTTCTGTAGCATTACAATAACCTCTTCACTTGGCTCCCACGAAAATTTCTTCTATCTTTTTTATACCTGCAATTTAATCATTTTATAAATATTCAAGTTACATTATTATTTCTCTTTCTTATAATCATCTGACTAGAATTTTTCTCTTGCTGCTATTCACATTGCCTCTCATGTTTGTAAATAACTCTTTGATATCAAATACTTTAGAGATTAAACCAGTCATGATTATATGTCAGATTTGATATCAAATAATCTATCAATATAAATAATCAAGTTTAAAGATACAAAAAAAAATCTAGCTTTTGATGTATTGTATAATTTTTCGTTTTTCTGATCATCAATAGAATTGTTAATTTTATTTTTCATATTGATATTTAAATTTTAAGTGAATTAAATTTCCCTAAAATGGAAATTTTTCCATCGTTTTATAATAAGAACAATTGATCCTGACACAAATCTAAGGTAAGTAAACGAACATTTCTACCTGTCTTTTAGGAAGTAAGAGTCTTAAAATTCAACAATTCTTAATTTTAATCTAAATCGTTCTGGGTTTGGGACCGTAGTCACCATATTTACAGTTCAATATGGTCATCTTCTCATTTGGTATCTTGGGTAACAAGCTGCAAAGCTTAATGCCTGCTACATTTTACCTTGTATTTGCACCTTTCTTAAAAATTGACCTCCTGTGATTTATTCTCGCAGTTAGGAACCGAATAGATTGTTGTTAAACTTCCTGGGCAATATTTGAAGACCCGAAACATAAGGGCGCCACCAAAATTTTTATTGTTCTAATAGTACAGTTCCAATGGAACAATGTCATCATCCCAATAGCATACTTCATATAATTTTACAATTCAAATGAAATATTTATAGATCAGACATGGTATTTCCCATCATTTGTCATGATACATTTTATGCAAATAAATATTGATGTGTATGTGTGTAGATAGTTAGGACAGTGTAGTTATTACCAGCATCTAACAAATTACATATAATTGCAGGCTCTGAACTTGGAGAACAACATAAATACATCTGAAGGATCAATCAACTCATGAATGTACATATAAAATTTTCGATTTTATGATTTACTAACTTTGTTATATTTTTTTCCAACATCATAACAATCAGTTTTATTTCATCCACAGCTCAACTGATTTGAATAAATAATAGAAAGTTTTCTAAACCAGCATCACCAAGCAATCGTCATAAATTGTTGCATATTTGCTACTGATTTATTGCTCAAGAAAATCCAATTTCTCTTGTTATCAAAATTTAAATATAATAACTTGAATGGAATATTGATAATAGGATTAAAATATATATTATAAAATGTATGAATGTCTCCATCTATAGATTGATTGATTAACGACAGTTTGTTAGTTAACGACGATTGCTTGACGATTAGATTGTTTATAGCAACGAGGGGAGAGTTTGTTTATCTCCAGTCTTGTCTTTGATTCTGTCACTTTTAATAAACTTACTTTTAATATTAGTTGTTCTCATTCTTTTATTTTACAATATTTATCGATAAACTTAAAGTTATAATAAGTAATCATAGATGATTTCACCGATTCTCGAGAATTTTCACGAAAAAAAAAATGTACGTAAGATCATAATAATTAAAAAGTACGTGATGTTAAGTAAAGGAAGGATGTTTGTGGAGCCACACCTGGTTTACTATATAAATTTCTGAAAGTCTCTTGGCACTTTTGATTGACAATTCTCATGCTCTGTTCACATTCATAATGTTCATCAGAGTCACATTTATATATTAATGTTCGTAAAAGGTAACTAAGCTAATATAAAAGCTGGACTATCCAATGAATACACATTTACAAAGCTATATAAAAATCTATCGCAGCAATCGCACCTTGGTGTTATCTTCATTTCATTGACCATATGTGTTTAAATATTTGTCGACGAGTAATAATTTTACTCAATGTTGTTTCACATTATAAACTTTCACGAGATGGAATAGTAATTATTTCTCATATCACGTACAAATTCTAATTAAATAAAAGATAAACTATAACCTAAATTCAATTTATTTTAAAATCTAAGAATATTATTTACCAACATTTTTTTAGAATATCAAACTTTAAAGTTATTACCATGATAACATCGAAACTTCTTCTACATTCAGACATAATTTTTTCTCATACCTCCACTATACTCTGCCAAGTTTATCTTTTTTCCTACACCAACCTCTCAACCATTTTCTCGAACTTCTTCACTTTTTCACTCATTCCTTTACCACCCTTCAAACAATAATTAATCATGGCCTTTTAAATATTTTACCAACTTCTCCACTGCTATTATGTATATTTTTTAATAGTTTAGTGCAGTATTTTTCCACTGCCTCTACTGAATACATAAATTTTTTTTAAATCATTAAAATGCCCTAAAATAATCTTTCATTCATTATCCAACATGTGGAGCCTTGAAAGAGTTATACATAAGTGAGAAGATCCAAGTGTCAGCTGTCTTGAATGTACCTAAGAGAGTCTTTAATGACATGTACGAATTGTCACTTAACGATTATTATAACTTGTCGATATTGTTATGACAATCGAGTAGATATAACAATGGATTGGTATAAGCATTATCTCAGCTAAACTTGGAGAACCAATCGTCCGGGCGTACAGTTTTATCTCGGATGAATAAAGAAGCAACGAAAGCTGGAATTTCCGGTTGATTCGGCGCACTAACGATGGGGGTAAACTCTGTCTATCCTTAGGGGCGAGAATAGGGAGCTCATACGATGTACATACATATATACTATTCCCATCTTATTGTCCTTGCCAATACCATGGGTGTCAATCTGCTCGTCAATGATTTACACAATAATGGATTCACTCTCTTTACAGTAAATTAGTGAAAATCCGTTAGATTGACCGTCAGGAACGCTTGTACTTTTTTCTTTGCTCATATGCATTGATGTTGTTTTATCTATTATATTTTTCTGTATTGCTTTAGCATATACGTAATTTATTTCAAAGGATTACTGGATACAATTATTCTTTATTTCCTGAAAATGAATGCTTATTTAAAATAAATGTTATTATGAAAAAAATATATTATTTCATTATTACCATTTTTATCATTATTTACCCTCGCAATGTACAATGTATGTACCGTGATAAAAAGAATGTTGATACATAGATACTTTAATTGTTTTACGTATATTGACTAATAAGATTAATGATGTAAGATCATTGGACATACGATTCGATTCGACAAAGTATGCTTAACTTTAATGGAATTTAGTTTTGAGAATATTAATGACTTTGGATTTGAATTATCGAAACGTGTCAGAATAACCATTTTCTAACAGTTGCTAATGAATGTACGAATAATAAATAGTATCAGACAATTGACAAGAGAAATTAATTCAGCATGTGGATTATAATTATTTTTGATTGGTCATCAAATCATTGAAAATCATTTAAAATAAAAATATTGTTTGTTTTATTAAATTTTATTTTAATTTTAAAATTTATTTTTGTATAATTATGATGATGTTTTTATATTTATTAATGATGATAGTGCTGAAGAGTAACTATTTTATTTCTTTTATTTTTAGTCCAGTAACGGTGCAATTAAAAATAGGGGTATTAGCAAATCTAACCTCCCACTTTGAATCAAGGTTATTTTTATGTAAAATTGCACGAGGATTCTAAAAAAAACTATTCGCAGGCAAAAGAAGTTTAAGAGTTATTGAGTTTTTTTGTTATAAACAATTTTTTCCCACTACACGGAGAGAAGGATCGAGTAAAATTTACACTGAAAAACAGGGTAAAAATTGTTCTATGCAGCGTAATGCTGGGACAGTGGTAATTTTTACATTCTGCTAGGATAAATATTACTCGGTATGCAGGGTAAAATTTACCCCTGGTGTCAAATTTGAATACTAAACGAATAATATTCACCAAATGTAGATTATTTATAAATTGAAAAAGTATAAAAACTTGATATATGAATTTTCATGAAACAAAAAAATATTTGTAATACGTTTTGTTCACCTTAATTATAATAAATAAATTACATAATTAATTAAAATTTCTGTTAGATGATTTTTTTCTATTATAATAAAAAAAAAGAATTTTCTTGTATAGAAGGAAAAGGATTAGAAGCAATTGATGAAAAGGTTTTTTTTCAAAAAGAATAACTTAGATTTAATTTGAAATCATGAATAAGTTATTTAATTTTTATTGATTTACTGCACATAACATCTTGAATATTATGGCCATCTTCTTACAATATAGCTATCACCATTGCTGATTGTTACAATGTAATAAATTGTTCATCAATTCTTGTACTTAGAAATAGTATTTCAATTTATTTGGTGCATATGGTGATTACGAATACACCCGAAGACAACCGATAGTACAAACTTGACAAAATCTGAAAAAAATGTCGAGTAAAAGTCTTTTACAATTGTTTATGTAAAACATGGGAAAAAAACGCTGAGAAATCGTTTTGAAATCGATTGGAAAAAATTCTGTAATACCGAAAAATTGGTATGATAACTGTAAAATAGTTAGTACGATCTTTTTTATTTTTTGAAATCGAATATCTCAAAAAATAGGCGGAAAAAAAGAAAAGTGAGGTGACAGAAATCTTCGTTAGACGTTAAAGAACAAAAAATATTGATGAAGAAAATATTAACTATTGTTTTTTTCAATTATTTATGGGAAAGTGTTCACTAAAAGTAGAAGGACATATACATATTATTTCAACTATTTTTCTTACGATGGTTGGATTCCATCTTCTTACAATTATCTCCAGAATTATAATTAGGAATTCATCTAATCTCTCTGTAAGATATGCCACACACAATGCTCGAATTTCAAGAACCAATAGGTGTACTTTGTCCATCTGGAAAAATATAAATTAACAATAAATAAAACAAAATAAAAATGTAAATCTAGTATTCACACTATTTTACATTTTTTTATTTTTATTTATTAAGGTCTTAACTTCTTCTTTAGAAGAGTTATTCAGCATAAACATTGGATACAACTTATTTACAATTGATTCATTGGTGAAGACATCGTATAATCACAGTTTACAATATAATTATACCTGGGCTATTGACATTTAAAATAGCAAGTTGCTTAAAAACAAAGTGAATTATGTTTTGTGCTGATAAAAAGTCTAAGAGTAACGACTATTAGATCACTTTTCAGACGGACCAATACTGTGTAATAGACTATCAATTAATAGACTATAGATAAATAGCAGAAAGACATGAAGCTTATGGTCACTGATTTTTGGGGGTAAAAATAAAGGAAGAAAGACTCAATATTAATGAAGATAGAAATAGAAAATAAAATTGAAAAGAGAATCTTGGTATTACTGTGGACAATGATAAATTTTTATAATTGCAGAAACGTTTTAAATTATTAAAACGAATGAAAGTTGTGGAATCAGATGATGATGAAGAACAAGGGGTCAGTAAAGAAAGAGAAGCAATAGCCAATAAGCTATTTGAAGAAGGTTCAGGAGACGTAAGAATTACTTAGTCTTATTACAGTATTAGTTGTATCATATTCTACCAAACAGATAGAAATGAAAATTTTTTAATGAATAAGAGAAAAAGAGGCTCGGATACAAGAAAAAATTCAAAAAAGAAGACCGCAGTTACTGGGAGCTGAAAAAAATAGAGAGGAAGTTGATTTTATAGAAGATGTTGATCTGGAAGAAGATGAACCTACTAGAAGAAGTAATCGTAAGACCTAGTAGTAAAGGTTCGGACCACCTTACTGTGACATCGAAAGTAACTGAAGGTATTCATCAACACATTGATGTAAAAGAAGAAGGCTAAGCAAATGCGTACTCTTTAGGGCAAAGTCTGTGGATCGGCAACGAAGAGTTTGCATAAAAATGCAAACTTTATCTGATAAAGAAAAGATCAGATGATTCCATCTTTGAAAATTATAGAAATTTACCTTAACAACGACAAATTAAAGTCATTCCTACTTTATCGACGGAAAGAACTTACCGATAGCAATATTGAAGCAGAAAGAAGACTGAGACCAGAGAAGAGAAGACTACCATAGAAATTCAACCGTATACGTTTTCCCATATTTACGTATACATTTTTTCTCGTAATCATAACAATACATGATAATTGTTCTTATCATTTCATTATTACCAAGCACTTAGTTGTTGAGAGTATTTTTTATTTTTTTATTGGAAATTGTGAGAGAATGATAGATAAAATAACACATTAATTAAAATGTCGTATACGAGTGAATTGTCTCGTTCTAAAGAATACCAAAGTTTTCGTAGTTCTGTGCCTTTAAGAAAAATTGTTGTTGACACAGATGGAACAAAGGTAAAAATGAAAAACATCCTCATTATATCCTTTGATCCTTTCTGCTCCATCAAGTAAGCTTAATGGATTTATCAGAATGTTCTTATAGGTTAAAAGAATATTTGAAAAACTTTCGAATATGAATATTCTATATTTAACTATTCATTTATAAAATTGATACATTAATTTACTTTTCAGGGATGGAAAATATATGATTCTGGTCCTAAAACTATTAAATGTCCATTAATTTGTCTTCCACCTGTTAGTGGTACTGCAGATATATTTTTTAAACAGATATTAAGCCTCACAGCAAAAGGATATAGGATCATATCAGTAAGATCGTTATTATCATATAATAATGAAATTGCTATGAATAGAATTTTACTATTCTAAATGCATGGTATATGTTTAATTATTATTGTTATTATTAAATACGTTGAGAATCCTTTCATGTTTATTGCAATATGAATAAACCAATTGATTTGAGACTTTATATAACAGTACATGTAAAAACGAATTTTTGATTAGGCAGAACCTCCAGTGTACTGGAATGTAAAGGAATGGTGTGATGGATTCAAAAGACTTATAGATTACATGGAATTGGATAGAGTTCACTTGTTTGGAGCTTCTCTAGGTCTAAATATATTCTCCATTAATATATATTGCATTTTTAAACAAGCTTATCATATTTGAATGATACTAATTCTTCTTCACAATAACAAATCTCAATAAATCAAATTTTATATAAACATTAATAAGCAAGAATATTTTTCCACTTACAGGAGGTTTTTTAATCCAAAAGTTTGCAGAAATAAATGCTCACTGCCCACGTGTTGCTTCATTAGTTTTGTGTAATACTTTCAGTGATACATCTGTTTTTAGTTATAATGAATCAGCTGCATTGTACGTTTATTATTGTTTCTTTATAATGCATCACATGTTTCAATTTATCTCTATTGACAAATTACTCTATGATCAATTGTAATAATCATGATTTATTGGTAATTAGATTTTGGGTTTTACCATCTTTGCTTCTGAAAAAAATGGTAATGGGTAATTTCACAACGAATAAAGTTGACAATGATATGATTGATGCCATCGACTTTATGGTTGAAAGGGTAAGATAACTTTTATCGATAAATTATTTTGTTGATATATAAAACAATTGTTTTATCATTTAATCAATAATTATGTCATGTATTAAATTGAACAAATTATAATAAAATGATTAATTGTTTGTTTTAGCTGGAGACATTAAGTCAAGCTGAGTTAGCCTCTCGACTAACATTGAACTGTATTAATTGCTATGTAGAACCGCACAAAATGGGTGATTTGCCAGTCACAATCATTGATGTTTTTGATGAATATGCACTTTCCAATATTGTAAGAGAAGAAATGTATAAATGTTATCCAAGTGCAAAATTAGCTCATTTAAAAAGCGGAGGAAATTTTCCATATTTAAGTCGCTCTGCCGAAGTTAATTTACATCTACAGGTAATTAATCAGATACTTGAAATATTTGTCAGACAATAAATTGTCTGTTTAATCATTATATTTGTACAGATTCATTTGAGACAATTCGAGGGAACTGATTTAACAGCTACCCACATAAGCACAACTGTTCAAAACAATGAAAATACAGAATAAGTCAAGATTTATTCTTTAATTTTATCAGAAAATTTTCCTTCATTAAATATAAAAGGAAAATAAATGACTCTATTCGTGAATTACTGATATACAAAAAAGTTTATCAGTGACGGTAACCAAATAAATTGCGATAAATATTGATATAATCAATTAATTTTTATTTTTTTACGATTATGATTATTACATAAATAATTTAGACTATTTTTGTCATTACAAAGAATATATTTACACTTTTTTAGATTTATTATAGTTCGTGGTGATATTAATAAAAGCATAAATTTTTTTAATGAATTTTATTCAGTTTTATTTCAATGTTATAGGCAATAATTGATAACTTATGTAAAATTAGAATGAATAGATCAGTACTAACAGAACCAGTAGAAGAAGTGTGATTGCGAACAGAGAAACTTATTAAATACTCTAAAGTCTTTGACAATACCAAATTTTGCCATGACAAAAAGAAAATTCTATTGTTAAATTATTATTAGAATATTCTTCTTAAAGAAAGTGATTGATTGTAAATTGTGCCAAATTTGTAAATAATTATAATATTATAAACAATTATTTGTAGAAACACATTGATTTATTACGAATATAATAAACATAAAAAACTAGGTTCTGATAAATTATTTTCTTTTATTTCTGATTCTTGAGTTAGACTTTTATAGTCATGTATTTTTTTTATTATCTTATAATAAATTTTATATGTTCTTTTCTCATTGAACAACTAGTGAAAATAAAATCAAATGTCCAACAGTTATTGAACCTTCAATCAAAGGTATTTTCAATATGAGAGACCGTACAAAAACGTAAAAGTATCGATTGTACAGAGTGGTCACTTGTATGCCTCTTTGCGATCTCGGGTTACCAGTCAACGAATCCAGACGTTATACTAGGTAGTTAAAGTGTAAGAGTTATAAGTGAAGAGACAACTAACACATCAGTACGGAATATAACATAAAACCGCAGTCAGTGAAAGTTTTTTCTCACAACAGCGGAATTTATTTTAACAAATCAATGAAATTGTTACGAATATTTTCTATTGTAATTTTATTTAAAACAAATTATTATTGTCTGTAAAATCAAAGTAAGTAATAGTAATAGCGAAATCCATCATGTATCTAATGTGATTCTTAATTTATTATGATATGTTCGACCAGCCCATTGATTTATTTTTTCGATCTGTAATCATAATGCTGATATCTAAACATTGATAATTAATTTTTAGTTGTTATAATGTTCCTTTTAAGATAGTGTGCAGATAACTATTGTGATTAGATAAATATGACAAAAATTTTCTATTTCTATTCACCATAAAACCTAAAGGAATAGTATTAGAATAGATATATAGACCATTTTTTTCAATTAAAATTTAATTAAATATTGAACAAAAAATCAAATTTGTTATTTTTTTTTTAATATTGAAGTTTTAAGTTGATGATTTCCTCACGTATATCTTTTTTAAGAAATAAAAATAAATAATATAATTGAAATTACTTTGCATGCGTTGTTAATAATTAAATATTATCAGCTCATTGTCTTGTATATTTTTCTTTTCTTTAGTTTTCAAGTAATATTAATATAGGTATAAAAAATATACGGATGTTTTTAATTGTGAAATTAATCAGAAAAATTTATAAAAAGACTTTGGTAAAAGTTTTTGATGTAAATTGTGCTACAATGCCAATAGTATCAGAAAGAATTCCAATTATCTCTGGTAAAGTTTCTTGGAGGACCAGACTAGCTTATTCTCTAGGTCATATTTTCAATGATCTTACTGCAGCAATGTGGTTTTCGTATATTTTAATTTATTTACAAAGAATTGCATTGCTTGCACCAATTACTGCTGGTGCACTTCTACTCCTTGGTAAGTAATTACTTTTACTATTATTTATGTTTTAATGGATACTTTATTTATGAATATCTCATAAAATAAAAGAGTGATATGAACACTGATTAATTATTATAAAAATTTTATTTGAAGGTCAGTTGGTGGATGCACTTATGACGCCAATCTTTGGAATACTAGTTGATAAATATAGCAAGAAAAAAGTATGGCATATAATTGGATCAGTTCTAGTGACTCTATCATTTCCTATTATCTTTGGAAGTTTTATTGATACTTCTAACTCTACGTCAATGGTTGTTGATGTAATAGGTATAACGATTTTTCAAACAGGATGGGCAGCAGTTCAAATTTCTCATTTATCTATGATTCCATTATTAACAGACTTGCCATTAGTGCGAGCAGAATTAACAGCAATACGGTAAATTATCTTTTAGACTTTGTCTTGATGATTTTCACATGAAAACTAAAATTCTCTTCAATTCTATAATAAATTTATTCCTCAATAATTTTATTTCAAATGATCAATAATGATTTCTGATAGATATTCGGCCCAAGTAGGTGCAGCAATAGCTGTTTTCATCGTCACTTGGATTATTTTACCCACGAATGAAAGCTCTGTTGCTCGATTGAATGCAGAAGACGATTACAAATTTCGAGTAAGTGATGAGATAGTAAAAAATAAAAAAATAATTTATTATTCGTTGCATTAATTTATTTAGAATATCGTGCTGATTATAACGACATGCGGAGTAGCAACAACAATTGCATTTCATGCTTTTTTGAAATCACATTTGTTGGAAAGTAGATCAATATCATCAAAAATTGATCGTGATAGTATATCAAATAGTTTAATGATTGAAAATAATAATAATCATAATAATTATCATACTAATTATCATTCAACAACATGGCTCAGTATTACATTTTTATTAAGAGTAGCATTGTTGTACGTAGCAAGTCGATTATTTATTACTTTAGCTACTGTATATTTGCCTCTGTACATTGAAGAAACAGACGTTGGTGGAAAACAGGCCTTGGCAACTGTACCATTAGTTTCATACTTGGCATCACTAATTACTTCATTGTTATTTAAATACATTAATAGATCATGCGGCTCTAAGGTAATTAGTTTTATTATTAATTTTTTTCTTTCAATCATGGAATGAAAAATTTAATTATCTCAAAGTTCCTGCAGTACTGAAAAAAAAAAAATGATTTATGGAAGTAGTTTGAAACATTACTGGATATCACCTTTAAATAACTAATGTAATTTCAACAGATCTGTTATTTACTGGGTATTCTCATTGGGATAATAGCAGCGGGAATTATAGAATTTGCTGGAAATTATGAAATTTTGATGTATGTAATAGCTATCTTTATTGGAGCAGCTAGCTCTATAACGATGGTAACTGCATTGAGTATTACTGCTGATTTTATTGGATCAAGAACTGAAACAAGCGCACTTGTATATTCAATTGTTACATTTTTAGATAAAGTAGTAACTGGTTTAATTGTTATATTTATTGAAAAATGGTAAGAAGATATTGAATGAAATTTGTTTAGAAATTTTTATTAAACTTAATAAAGAAACAAATAATATAGTGATAGATTTTATGGAAAATTCAATGAAGTCATTAAATAACGTGCTAATGAATAATTAAATATTACAGGAGGTGTATTGACGAGAAGCTTTGTCCCAACTATAATAGAGACACTTTAGCTGTAGTTTGTGCTGCGTCTATGATTCTGGGTTTAATAGCTTTAATGTCAATTTCACGATGTTTAACATAATTAGTGAACAATGGACTGAATCCATTTATTCATTGATTCATTTTTGTATTAAAAGAATTTGCATTCTTCAACTCAATAATCATTTACATTTACATAACGACTGAAAAACTCATCGACTGTTTAATCAAGCAATATAAAAAAGTACTTTTTTTATTGAAAAATAAAAGACAAATATTTATATTTAATTGTTAAAAAAACATAAATAATCAAAACGAAAATGAAGAAAACATTATTATGTTAAGTTAATTAAAGAAATTAATTTTTTATACTTTTAGTATTTGTTAAATATTTTAATGATTCAAATTATAATAATAAACCTGGTACAAATATAGTATGAGGGCCGCTTTTCAATTTGTACTTAATAATATGAGTAATTTATATGACAATTTGCTATAGTTCTTTTAATCTTCATCCAAAAGCATTTCGTCTCATTAATTATTTAATACTTTTACATCTTATTTTTTTTCTTTTCATATTTTTGTTTTATTTTACGCTACACGTTTACCATTAATATAATTATAATAATTAATATTATGAAGTTGACAATCATTTAATACTATGTACTGATAGTTAAATAAATTTTTTATAATTATAAATTTAAATTTATATTTATCTAAAAATAATCGTAATATCACACTTAAATCGATAAAAAAAATTATCATAAAAACACAATGCTATCATAAAAAACTTTGTGCACAGTCTTTTATGAAGACTATTGGTTAAAAATTTTTTTTTGTTAAATTATTAGACAATACAAATGAATAATAATTATAACTAATAATTTCAATATAATTTTTTAAACAAGATTTTTGATGAAATTTTTTTCCGATAACTACAATAAATCAAATAATCATAATTTATATACTAAGTATTTTTCTATATATACATATGAAGTTACGTTTGAAAATAAAAAAATAGATATTAAATTTTTTGATAATTATTAAATAGAAATTCTACAATCTAAAATTGCCGGAAAATGTCTACTGATAATTAGATAATAGTATAATAATATTTCAAAGCCCCGTAATTTGGCACAAAAAGTCACTGTATTTTATATACCTTTGGTTTCAGCTTAGTAATAGATTAAGAATGTTTACTAAAATCACAAATATCTTCTACGCATATTACATTAAGCTACTTGTACATTTCTATCAAAAAAACTTTGTTTCTTGGTTATTAATCGTCCAAGTAACAAATAAAAAAATGTTTCTAAGAATAAATTAATAAAAAGAAAATATATATTTACAGTCGTCCTTCATTCAATAAAATATCTTGTAAATTTTCCAAGATATTATATTGAATATTCATAATTTTATTTATTATTGTGACTAGAATATGAGTAACTGTCATCAAAACTTATATCACGTGATAAAAAATTTTTTTTGATGATTTAGTTATTTTGTTTTTTCATTGACATTATTAGGCAATTTTTTTCCAAAGTTAAATTTTTATCATATTTATCTCAAATATAATTGAAAAATATATGGTATATATTATTATATAAAGTGAATATTATCTCAATCGGTTTAATTATAATTATAAATGATCTACAATCAATAATACTTTAATAAAGTAATTAAGTCAGTTGTTTTAAAATAGTTTTTAAAAAAATAATGATTTTTGTAATCATAAATCATTCTATAAATAAAAATTGGTTTGTTTTAAAACTTGACAATAATTATTTGTCAATGTCTTCTTCATTATATAGAATACTTCTGTTTTTTAGAGAAACTCGAAGTAGTATAATCTAATAAAAGCTATTATTAATATTAATATAATAAAACAAATATAATAATCTAGAAAGCTAACTTAATTACTTTACTTAAAAATCATTCTAAGATAAAATTTGTGCTTTAAAATTTTTGAATATCAAATTTAAAAAGTAAATAAAATAACTATTAAAAACTATTTTTATAATATTGACACATGGGTTTTCAATCAACAGATATAAAAAAAACTATTTTAAGTTTGATTTTGAAGTCTTTTTTTTTCTAATGAATCAATGTGCCAATAATAAATAAACGTGAAGTAAAAAAAGAAAAAATATTAAAATTTAATAATAACCTGAATAATGATGATAACCAGGCCTTGGTGGATGATAAGGTGTAGGACTGACAGGATAAGCTGAATTATAGCTAGTTAATGGAGGTGGTGGTGAAGAAACCATTCGATTTTCAACGATGTCTGGAACAATATGTGGAGTAGTTGAAGCTGGAGGTCTAGGACTAGTAATCATCCTCGTACTAGTACCATGAAGATGGTGAGATCTTGAAAGGCTTAAATCAACACTATGTCTTCCACCAGGGGTAAGATCTAAACTAACGACTCTTAATACATCACTATGAGAATATGGAGGCGGAGATGAAATAGTATAAGCACTAGTTCTACTGAGATCAACACTTTGACTTTCAGAAATTTCATACAAATGATGATGATGGTACCTGCCACTTTGTATTTGAGATCCAAAACTGTGGAATCCTCTTGCAGACATATCTAATCCTTGCAATTCTCCATTATTAAATGAAAGAGGTTCGAAATTTCCTCTTTCTCGATTTCCAAATTCCAAATCAAGTGGATCATATTTGTATGATGTAGATAAATCAAGCTGTAATGCTTTTTCTTTAACAGAAATACTAAGATTTTGTGCGACAGAATCTCCTTCATCACTTGATAAATTTTCTGTTGGAACTTGATGATGATGGTGATGATGAACTTCAAGATATCTAGAATTATTATTTGTAGAAAGTGAATTCAAATCTTGTATCATATGTATACAATTATTTGAAGATGGTGAACTACGTGGAGGTTCTTCGTGATGAAGATATTGTTCAATGTTGTGGGTCCTATTAGTATTTACATATTCTATTGACCGATGAAGATGATAATCTGAATGAATGTGAGTTGGAGATGAATTTCTGTTGTCTGGAGTAGGTACTGGAGACATTAAATCTTCTTGCTGTTGAATGTAAGACTCCAAATGAGGATCTGGAGATCTGGAAGGGAGTGGAGATTGTAACTGATTTGAAATGGTATATAAATTACCATCTCTGTCGGAATCATCAAGTATTGGGCTGGAAACTGCTCCAATATCTCTTTCTGCAGCATCTAATGCTGCTTCTACAAGTAAACTAGCATTTGTGCTTTCTGTCCTTCGATAAACACTTAAGGAGAGCTTGCCATCATCTATTAATGATGATGTAGGTAATGGAGGAGATCGTTGTTCATCTTTTTTTATAGTATCTTCGAAATCATAAACATCTGTTGATGTTACGGGCGGTAGATTGGATGTTACAGAAGAATGCATAGAATGATCAGAAATTTTCGTGGTTACTGGAGGATTAAATTCTCCCATCCATTTTTTACTTCCTTTAGATTGCAATTTTGAAGGCCCACAAGTATCATGTTCTTGACGAGCATTATTAATAGATAAAGAATCCATCGATACATTTACATTAACATGAGTAGCAATTTCTTGAGATAGTGGTGATTGATTACTTGCAACCTCATGATCTAAAGGATGTTTAACTACGGTTGGCTCTGCTTCTAATTCTTTTGATAGGTTATTATAGTTAGAAGGGGATGATAAATTGTTCTTTAAACTACTTTGAGAAAGTTCTTCTCTTGATAACTCTTGTAATTTTTCCTGAAAAATTTAATTAATTACTTTGACTATTATTCATATCATTAATAAAATAAAATACGCTATTTTCATTCTTTCTAATATACCTCGGAACTTTGTCGGTTTAATCGTGGTGTTTTACCCCTTCCAGTATCTTCAATAAGTCCTCCACTGTATGCATCAAATGTATATGCAACTGATCGCTCAATTTTCGGCATCATTTCTTCAGTCAAACCATGAACTTTTTTATAATGGAACTGAAGACATTGTTTTGTTGTAAATGCAGCTTTACAATTCTCTTCTTTACACCTTTAATAAAATTTGATTAAATAAATTTGTTAACGAATGTAACCATACATTTATTATATTGAAATAAATTGAATATTTTCTTACTTGAAAGGTTTTACTCCACTATGGGTTAACATATGAATTTTTAAGTTACTTTTATTTTGAAACATTTTACCACATCGATCACAAGTTGCTGCACCTACAACATCTTTATGATGTACTTCTTTCATGTGACGTTGAAGTGCAGCACGTGATCCCAATAATTTTAAACATAATTTGCATTGAAATTCTCGGAGAACTTCTGACATATCTGAAAAATAAATTGATTAACAAATTATGAATATATACAAATTAAATTAAAGTAAAATAAGTACTTACCGCTATGCATACGTTTAATATGAACCTTCAATTTTTGAGGCTGACAAAATTTACGACCACAAAAATCACAAAGTGGTCTAGATCGTTGTGGATTTTGAGCACAGCCGTAAGTTCTGTGCATTTCTAAATAATTTAATCGTAAGAAAAATTTACGACAGTATTGACACTGATAAGCTCCTCGACCTGCATGTAATTCAGCAGCATGTTTCATAATATTATCTTTGCCCAATACTGCAGCACCACAAACTTTACAATGATACTTTCTAATAGTAAGGCTATAATTTGTGTCATGGAAGATACAGCAATGAAGACGATAATAAATGGAATGGGCGAATGTCAAATTGCATCCACCACAGTTTGTTTTATCTGATTTATTTTTTCTCATCCAAGCTGAAGATTGAGAATCAGCCCAATAAGTTAATTCACTGCCAGGTGGAATAATTTGCGTTGTAATAAAATATAATTGGGAGTTTTGGATAACCACAGCAACACTCCTTTCTTCTCTCGTTTCTGCAGGTCTCATGTACCGTATCCAATTACTTTTGAGTGGATTTGTAGTACTGATATAACAGGTTTTTCCATCAATATCTAACTCCCATATATGTCTCATTGGAAAATCATCAGGAATGTCCATTTCTTTCACAAATTTTCCAATAAGAGGACCAAATTTCACGTAAGATGATATAGAAGTTTTGGCAAATACTCCTAAACCATGCTCTGAGTTGGTCATTTTTAATTCTAAACACTCAGGTAATGATTCTCTAGCATATAAAGGTCTTTCTTTATCAACTTGTAGTCTTTTTTCTTCTGTCTGAGCTTTATTTTTCTGTTCAGAAGCCTCTTCGTCTGATTCGAAGCCATCATCAACTGCTTTTCTATATCCTTCAGACATTGGATCCTCAGAAGTAACAGCTTGCATAACTTCAACATTATCGTTATATTTATTTAACCACTGTTCATAAGAAAGATTATCAGTAATTTCAATAGATGCCGAAATTAATGGACAAGCTCCTTGGATATGACGATTATTACAATCTTGACATAATTTTATTTTTATGGCTAATCTTTGAGGTTCAGAATTATTTCCTTCATTTTCAAAATCAGCTTGAGATGAATTCAAAGGACCAGAAGATGATTCTAAAGACTCTTGTATTTCTGAAGGTATCATTCCATTTTGTGGAGCTTTCCTCACATCATGATTCTTTTTATTTTTATATTCTGTGGTGTGTTTGTGCTTTTTCTTTCGATGCTTATGTACTGATGACTCTTCGTCAAGTTCTTTTGATACTTCAACATTCGCTTTCAAACAAGAATCACTTCTGAGATGTTTTCTTCTTTTCCTTCCTTTCTTTCCCTCTACGTCATCATCTTTTTCACTTTCGCAAGTCCTTGTTTCATCCAAATTCGTTACTTTTTCCTGAATGTTAGAGTTATTTTGTTCTCTATCTTCTCCTTCTTGAGAATTAGAATTTTCAAATATTTTTGAATAGCTCTGAATATTTTTTTCTGTTTCATGTAGAGATTTGCTCACATGTTTGACTACTGAACATTGAGATGATAAATTTTTTGTAAATTCTGGAGTTTCGTGAACACTTGTATGATCATCGATTAAATCATTATCATTTTGTAAATTTTCACTGATGTTTTCTTTACTATCTAAATTACTTACTAATACTAAATCTAATTTCTCAGTCTTTTGAATAACAGATTCATCTCTTAATCCACGAGGATTTGATTTTTTTAAAAATTTTGACAAATCTTTTGGAGAATTAGCATCCAAAATATCTACTGATGAAGAGCTATCATCAAGATTCTTGTTGTTAGTTTTTTCAACTGAAGAATTAATAGTTACACTATTACTGGTCTCAATAACTCCAATATTTGCTGTAACTTTTTTAACATGTTTTTTCTTTTTACGTTTATCTTTGTGTTTTGTTTTATTCTTATGATGTTTTGTTTTAGATTTATGCTTTTCAGATCCATCATTTATCAAATTTTCTTCTAAATAATTGGATTTTTCTATATCTATTTCATTACTTACTGACATCTCATTATTAGAATTTGTGGGGATTTGATTACTTCGACTTTTGGGTGAATTTAAATGACATTTTTCAATATCACGTGATTCATTCTTTTCATTTTTGCCTTCTTCTTGTTTATTTCCAACGTAAAGTTTTTCATTTTTCCTACAAAAATAATTCAATCATGAAAATATCAACAACACTAAAAACCATAAACAAACATGATGTGTATTTGTCAAGGTAACATCAAACGAAAAACATTATAAAATAATGAATTATTTTGTATTGTCAATGAATTATCTAACATTTTAAAAACTCTTGACAAATGAACATTAGACTGAAATAAATCATATTGGTAAGAATACCTGACAGCATCGGCAAGGTCAAGAAGATGAACAACGAGATCATCATCAGAAACGAATCCCATTTGCTTTTTGAGTAAAAACCATCGCTTAGCATTTTTAACACCAATTTGAACACTTTGTAAATGATCAACAATTGTTTTAGAATTCACATCAGTATCATTGTTCAGTGTTTTATTTATTCCTAATGTCTTAACGTATTTCGAATTTTTTTTCGGCATAACTACATGGTAAACCGCTGATTTATGAGCGGTCAAAAATTGGAGGTAATAATGAATACGTACGGATATTATATTATCCTTTTAAAAGTTAAAAGTTGTAATCACTTTTTCATTCCATTAAAAATCATTGTTCTTCCGAGTGATATCAATAATACTTAGGTGTTTTTTGGCTTAATACCAAAGTAATAAAATAGATTGGAAGCTACAGATTCTTTTTGTTGCTTTTATGTGCTGATCACAGAAAAAAGGCTCTCTAAGTAAAAACGTAAATTAAAAAATCGAATTTTTTGAAAATTTTTAATTTATCAGCGCCTCTTATCTATTAATTCGACATGCACTATTAAATTACATAGATCAACAGAAGATGACTTATCACCACATTCCATTATGATGGCTTCGAAGATTCGGGCGCCAAATTTAAAGATTTCAAGTACAGCCCTGAAGCAGACGAAAAAAACCCTGGGAGTCAGGCAAAAAGATGGATCACTCAAGCATCTATTCTAGACAGCTACACCTGTCGAAGTAAAATATATAATATTTAATAAATGAACGGAATAAGTACAGAAAGGACTATTGACAAGTGCTGATAATGAATGTAAATAAAAGATTGTTAGAATTTCTATAGGTAAATTAAGTCTAAATAGGGAATGAAAATAAAAAAAATTTATGAAGATAAAAAACAGTAGCCTTAGAAGGAACTGCCCTTCTTTGAAAATTCATTAACTTAATACTATAGTAACAATAATAATAAGTTACAGTAATAACATAATGATTACAAATGTGCAAGTACATTGAGAGATGAAAATAAACGTGGTGATAGAGAGTGAAATAATTTATAACATTGATTAGTAATTAATGATGATAATTCTATTAAAAACAATAATTAGATTATTCGTCTCATATACTTATTATTACTATTATTATTGTTATTATTATTTTTCTTTAGAAGAGAAAAAATATATACTTTAATCGCGTTTCACCGTTTCACTTCACGTTAACTTAAGAATTTTTGTTATTTTCTGTTCACGTATGAACGATCAACTTGAAAATGATGCCAATCTGGTGAAAAATGTTCGTTTCTCTAATTTAGGGAATATTCATATTAAACGGAGAGACGAACCTTCTATACCGGATTAATTGAAGAAAAACAAAACGCAATATGATTTATTATTGTTTTCCAATATTTTTATACTCTATATTAATCCTATTTTATATTTTTTAACATTAATATATAGCTGGACAAAAACGTCAATAAATATTTATTATAAATTTATAAATAAATAAAAATTTTATTTAGTAAATATTTTCAATTTAAAACTGACTTCTTTTACTAATCACAGGGAATTAGTATTTTCATTTTTAACTTGAAAAAAGAGTTATGGTATTCTTTCTCTTTCTGATTAAAATTCACGTACTCTTATCATTATTTTCTCTTTATACTCAAAACATTATAATATTATTACACATACGCTTTTATAGCTGCATGTCTTCCATTAAAAATATTTGTATTTTTATTATTATTGAAATAGGCACCAGAAGTTGTAAATGCAAGTATAATTTAAATTTAAATTTTATTCAATAAAAAAAAGATTAGATGATATTTCATCATTAAAAATTATAGAAATTTACCTTAACAACTATAAATTAAAGTCATTCCTACTTTATCGACGGAAAAACTTACCGATGGCAATCTTGAAGATGGGCACAAAAATGGTAAGTACAAATGTACAAATGTGTGGGTACAAAAATTCCGGTCCAGTTGTCGCTTTGGCACACATGGTCGCCTGCCATTTGTTCTTGTTTCCTGTTGCATGAGAGCTTCTTCAGTTATCGTTGGCATTCATGAGCATAGTTGAAATATTTTCGAAAAGTTGTATTGTAAAGAAACTTTTTTCACATTAGTTAAAAAGTAAGAATCACACAGTGTATATTAGTAGTTAATATTCATTATTCACCATGGATGATGAAGCTGAAACATACAAACTATGGAGAATACGCAAAACAGTCATGCAACTTTGTCACGATAGAGGTTATCTTGTAACACAAGACGAGTTGGATCAGACTTTAGAACAATTTAAAGACCAATTTGGCGATAAACCCAGTGAAAAACGTCCAGCTAGAGGTGATTTGATTGTTTTAGTAGCTCATAATGATGATCCGACTGATCAATTGTTTGTATTTTTCCCTGATGAACCAAAAATCGGTATCAAAACAATCAAAACGTATTGTCAGCGTATGCAGGAAGAAAAAATTCACAGGTAATTGATTACTTAACATTGTTGGATCTACTATTAAAATTCATAAATTTCCAATTTAAATTCATTATTTAATTAAATATTTATTTAGTCATTTAAATCCTCAATAGATATTATTTTTAATTGTCACTGATTACTTTTTAGTTTTCATTTATGTATTTGGTTTTATTGATATCATTTTAGACTAGTAATTATTATTCTATAATTAATTAAGAATTATTTTTACATCATGATTTTTTTAATATTTCATAAAAATTAATTTATTGGATGCTATTTTCAGGGCTATTATTGTTGTTCAACAAGGAATGACACCTTCAGCCAAACAGTCGCTGGTAGACATGGCCCCAAAATATATTTTGGAACAGTTTTTAGAATCAGAATTATTGATTAATATAACAGAACATGAGTTAGTGCCAGAACATATTGTACTAACTCCTGATGAAAAGGATGAATTACTTACCAGATATAAGTTGAAAGAAAATCAATTAATGAGGATTCAAGCTAGTGACCCGGTAGCACGATACTTTGGATTAAAACGTGGTCAAGTAGTTAAGATTATTCGTCCATCGGAAACTGCAGGTCGATACATTTCTTATAGGCTTGTTTGTTGATATATTAAGTTTGTATACATAATTATATATAAATTATTTACTTTTGTATTAAAATAAATAAGATATCTAAATAAATCTTCAATTATTTAACATATAACGACGTTGTAATAATTTTTTTAATATATTGCTATTTCTAAGGAATAACTTGACACGTTAAGAATTTATGGAAATGATTTCTTTATTTGTTGAAATTTTTTCGTTGACACACTCATAATTGTTCATTTTTTTATACACTTTTTACTTTTATATTCGAGAAAATAAGCTTTCGCATTCGATTATTAATATAATATATTGCAATATATAATAATAATAATAACATATGCAATATATTATTGATATAATATATTGCATACTAACAATTCAATATTATAATTAAGAAATCATAACAGTATAACGATTAATCATATTGTTTTCGTTATACTTTTTTAATAAAAGTAATTGAACAATCTGTATAAAGAAACATAATAAGATCACAAATTTTTTTTTATTGATATATCTTAAATTGAAAAGGAAAAATAATTCTAACTAATATTACATTGATTATATAAATTATTTATTCATAATTTTACAATAACCCTAAACTTATCGCATATGAATTGTTCATCAGTTTCATTATTCAATGTATTTCTTTAAATATCTGTAGTAACAAAATTTTGTTAAATTCTATAGATTAATCAGTAAAAATCATCATATTAAATCATAACTATTCGTGACTAATTTTTAACAAATTTATTTGTAATAATGTTTATTCTTTATCTTTCAGACATTTATACATAATAATCACGTGAAAAAAATAATTATATAATATTTAATTAATAATGACTGATGTTAAATGAAGTGCTATTGTATTTTAATATTTATGACTGCTTTTTAACATACATTTAAAAAACATGCTAATATATTTTCGCATTTCTCTAAAGTATTATTAATTGTTCCAAATTAATAAATTTTAAGAAATACTAGGCCTTTTCTTGGTCTAATACCTATTTTAATTCCCAAATACAAACAAATGCTCTTCTATTCAAAGTACAACACTTACATGTATTAATATAAAATTTTAAAATAAAATCTTTCAACTCGATTCACACTCATGGTGGGCTACAATTAATTGTTCTATATAATCATAATCATAATAAAGATTGAAAAAAAAAACATTTCGAACGCTTTAATGTCTTGTGTGACACAACGATTAAAATTTACTATGGAACATGGGTTGTTCACACATAAAAAAGTACAAAATTACTTCGTATACATATATTACAATAATTAAGAAATTCAACGTTAGGATAATAATAACCACAGAATTGAATATGAACAAAAGTTGGAAGAAAAAATTATTCATATAAGCTAGTTTTAATTATTGATTGAGTAGTTCATTAAATGATCAATAATAATGATCATCTTATTGATGTTGATAGTAATAATGATAATAATGACGATATTGATAAGGATAACGATTATTTAATAATAATGATAATTATAATTATAATAAAAACAATAATTAGATATTATACATATGCATTGCGTTAAAAATGAAATAAAATGGCAACAGAATGGCAATGAAATGTGAATCTTTTAGTATTTTTTGTTGTGAATGATATTTACTGATATACATTCAAGTAGCCCACTCAATGAGAAATTAATATCTTCCAATAATTTCAGATTTACTTGATTTTGTACATGTTAATAGTAATTAACGTGGTCCTTTACGAATATAAAAAATAATCTAAAAAAAAAAAAAATTATTATTAATTATTGTTGTTTTAGATAAATGTACCAATAACATTTCTATCAGTACTATCTTTGTAAAAAAATGATTAAAAAATAAATTAAATATTCTTTAGGTGTAAAAATTTTAATCAAAATAATAATCATATTTTTTTATCAAATAAATCTTAATTTGTTCTCGAAAATATAACAAAAATGATAATTTTTATCAATCTATTTATAAATAATTATGAATAATATCAGCGAAAAAATAAATAAGATTTTAATAAATTACAAAATTATTGGATTCAATCAGAAATTTAAATCTCAAAGTAGTAAAAAAGAATGAAAATGTACCTAAGAATGATAAGGCGTAACATAAGCTGATGGAAACAATCCCCGTCTATTTCCAATTGCTCCATGCCACCAGTTCTTGTCTGTATGATCTGTTACAGTAATAACGTCGCCTCTTCTAAATTCTAATTCACCTGGTTCTTGTGGCGTAAAATCATATAAAGCTTGCACTAAGTACTGCAAATTACATAATATACGAACATTAATTTGATATAACAGAACAAAAACAATTTGATTGGAGATTTTAGTCCTATCTCCAAATAGATACATAATGATAAAATGTTATTATATTGAATATTACCTCTTCAGGAACCATATCACGTAATTTTACGTCTTGTGAACGTGAAACTGACGCTGTACGATGATACTCTACTAATTCATTGAGGCTACTAAACTTGACTACCCAGAGGAAAAACTTTCCTTGTGCATCTCTCAACACTTTGAAATGTTGAACGCCATCCGAGCATCTAAAAACATTTAGATAAAATATATATTCCATCAATACCATGAAAAACAAACAAAAAATGAGGAAAACATATTATAATGAAATATATTGAATGCCTGTTTACTTAGTATTACTCACTTTACTGATAAAGAAAAATCTCCAGGGGAACTTTCACTAATTCTGATCAAAAAGGCACCCTCGTGCTTATTTGATAATAATCTCTCCGCATCTGCTCTCGTTATTCTTCCATAGTACCAACTAAAAGCAGATACAATAAATAGTAATCACAAAATAATAAGAAAATTACAAGATATAAATTGAGTTTTACAGAAACTGTAAATGAAACATACTTTATGGTGCTTTAAATAAAATATTAAAAAATTATTCAAAACATTTAGTTATACATTTAAAAAATTTCCAATGATTTCTCTTTTTAAATCACACAAAAAATCATAATCAAAACGAACTTCTTACTCGTGATTTTTCATTTCAATGTAATTACTGGGAATTAATCCTTCTCTGGAATCTAACTCTGCTCTGTACCAATTCATATCAGCCTCCATATTGAGAATCTATATGAAAAAATAAAAATAAATAAATAAATGATGTTTTGGATCCATTAAATTCTAAAAATAATCATAATTAATAAAAGGAAAATCTTCAAGTAATATCTGAAACCATAAATACATTAACTTAATGTACCAATAAATTACTTGATAAAGCGTATCATTGACGAGAATGAAAATAATCGAACAATAGATAGTTTCAATAAGTGCTAAACAACAATATAAAACACTTCAGAACTTTAACTAAGATGTATAATATGACACTTTGTGACTTGATATTTCATTTATAATTTTATCTTAAAATGAACATATATATATATAAAAACCTTTAAAACTTGATTCCTTCGAAAACTGAGTTCATCTTCAGCTGTAGCAGTGAAATCGTGCTTCGCAATCGCCTCCATTCTGTTTTAGATTTTAAAATAGCTGTATAGTATATCACAGTCTGGTCTCTTTCGAGTCAAGTATAACTAAAACGACCACCGTTTTCTTTCACTGATAACAAAAGTTTAACCACTTAGTTTTGATACTGGTTTTTCATTAATCAGATGGTCTTAGCACGCTTCTAAAATCACAATTTACATACACCTATTATGTTTTCATGTAATTGATACCCTTGGTGATATATCCTTTCAATCTTACCGAAATTTTCTTTCTATCAATTGATTTGCAGCAAAAAAAACTTTGAAAGTATTCTAAATGTTGATTTTACTTCTTTTGTTTCAAATAAATTCTCAATGAATTTACTGAAATGATGTTGAACTGTTTCTTGGCTAGGTTTAAAATCGAAATTTTAATTTTAGAGTAGTGTCCATGCACAATACGTAATATAACGCGAAGCGACTACTTTCTTGTTTCCTTGCCCCCGGAATGCCCCTCAGTCTTCTTCAAGTATACTCCTTAGCGATCTTCCTTGTGTTTCACTTTACACATGTAAATTTCAGCTTTATAGTCGTTGATTTCATGAAATCTGGATATTCAACTGTTGATTAAATACGTTTTTTGGTTGAATAAATTATTTTTAAAACTGTCAAAGGTTTACGAATAATTAGTCATGCATTACTTGAACAATTACAGACACCCATCGCTTGTCTTATCAGACGTTATACTCTCGAGGCTATCCCAGTGGACGGATGCTTCGACCACCACCTAAAATTGTATATTCATGCGCAGACATCTTTGAGCATATACTGACTGACGTCAGATTCTCGATTATTCCGTTTAACACAATACACTAGCGGATCATAAATCTCTTAGACGCGGAAATTTGTCATGTTATTTGTATCAATGTTTGCTTTAATCAATTTATTATTTTATTAATAAAAATTTTTTTGAGGCTATTAAAATTCTCTTATGACAGATTTATAAATATGGATCTACTTTTCACTGGCGTATTATCGCGCATGCGCATAATGTTTTCTTTTATCGCCATTTTATGTATTATTTAGTTCCATACCGATTGCCTATTATTTTTATTATAATCAATTCGAATAATCACATTTATTTAATAATTAACAGTATATCTTTTTACTGTCGTTTTCTTTTTCAGGCAAGAAATAAATTCCAATAACACTATATTCAGCTTAACAATTTATGATATAAGTTGAAATTTCAGAAGAATTCCTGTTATAAGATGAATTATATACTGTATTGTAAGATGCTGATATAAAAAAATTCATATAAGATTCAATGAGAAGACCCTTAGGTTATGATTTTTCATAGCTAAACAATTTTTCTTTGATCTTTCTTTTAATTTATTGATGATTGTAAGTATTTACTTTTCTATATTTGTATTTTTAGTACGAAAACAAACTTTCAGTTTGCCTAACAACAGTTCAAGTACTCTATTATTACTTTCAGTCATATTTATGTTATAAAAAAATTAGTTTTTTTTTTTAATTAAAAAAAGACACAAGTACTTGAAATGTTTGAAATTCCAATTTTAAATATTTCCCTCATTTATTTATATTCATTGACGTTAGATGTAAATAAATAAATTTTGTTATTACGTAAAAAAAATAATTTATTTTTCGAAAAATATTTTCTAAAAAGATAAAAATACTAAAAAAGTGTTTTTTCAAAATTTCAGAAGTAAAGAGCCAACTAATATTGTAGACTAATACTTTTTGTCTCAAAATAGTGAAAGTTTTCGAAGACTATAGTATTGACAAGTGGGGAAAAAATTTATTGTTTATTTTTTCTTTGATTTATTTGCCAACTACATCGAGTGTGCCCTAGAATCTTAATACACTGAACTCTGCTGTATAGGTATGTATACTTGGCAATATACAATTTATATATAGATATTATATAAAGACAAATATATACACGTTCACAATAGCTAAGAATGTGTATGAGACATGTCTGAATGCTTTCAATACGAGATATTATATGAACGCAAAATAGTGGCGTAGTAATACCCGTGCAGTAGCGCGGAAATTAAATTACTTGAGTAATACCGATAGCAGTTTTGCAGTTATAAAAGATGTTTGCATAAACAAGGGTCGATAATCAATCCTGATTGACAACAGAATTTTTTCTAAATCATACACGTGCTTATTATTATGATTTTTTTTTCATTAATATCTATTTGTTTATGATCTGTTAATATAAAAGAAATATTAATAGTAAAAAATATACTTATCAGTCCAATTTTTTATACATAGACCGATTTTTGAATTATTTAATGATTCAATCCATAGTTTATTATCAATATAAATATTTTTTACTATTTGACTCCCCTATGACTCCATGAATAATTGCGTATTCACTTCCTGTTCCCTGTATCCGCTATACTCTACTGTTAGCTGCCTTCTTCCGCCCACACTCAATAAAATCAAAAATTGTGGATAATGTCTTGTTTTCGAAATTTATCATTTTAATTAATAGCATTTTGATTAATTTTTTAAACATTGAAAGCTTGTCAGAGTTGTTGATGATTTAATGCTGACATGGAATCATAGTTGGAAAGTAATATTTTATTTTTTTTTTTAATGTAATAATAATTAGTTCAGTTAATCATAAAGTTATTCTTTATGACAACACTTTCAAAATTTTGAAATTCAATTCTTTGTCATTGTCATGAATTGCGGAAACAATAAAAGAAAAATAAAAACAGAAAATTGCCCTTGATGTTGGCATTACGACACAATCATGATTGCAATTACCATAGAATTTCCGCCGTGGCTATTTTTTGCATTCAATGACTTAACAACATTTAAATAAAAACAAAATATACACGTGCATATTATAATACTGTTGAAAAAAATTGACCTCGTGTAGAAAGAAGAGAAAAGCGGAATATTTAAAGATAAATAATATCCATACTGTTTTTGGAATTATTGCAGAAGTATGTTTCTCAAACAATGTGTACTGAACGTGCAAAAAATTACAATAAATATACTATATACCCAAGGTAAGAGCTTAATTTTAAGCCACTGAATTTATTTGATTATAAATTATATATACATTTGGAGTAATCTACTCCACAAATTAATAAGATAAATAACATTAAGACTTGTTGATATAGTTTGATATAATGTTATTAGATCGGGTACAGTACAGTAATATTGACTTGTTTTTGTTCAACAGATAATCGTTCTAGGATATTTAGATGACTCATGTATCTCTCAGTATTTTTATGAGAGAGAGTGGAGTGTCATGCAACTCTCAGACTTGGAATTTAATAAAAAAATTTCTACAATGAAACTGTACAGTAATATTGTATTAAAGAAAATTAAGCATCGTCACTACTTTTTAAATTATTTGAAAATGAATAAGCTGTGAAGAAGATTTACTATTAATTCATTTAAATTAATGAAGCTACTTTTTTAATGTAAATGAAAAAGATGTTTACAATGTTCAATTATCTTTGTTATATTTCACAACAACTAATCAGAAAATTATAAATTGATATTTTAAAATATAAATAAGATACAATGTTTCTTACCGTGTGATTTTACTGTTTATTGGTAAAAATTCTTAAAACCTCCTGAGATACATACATGGAGGGAATAAGTGTAAAAGAGATAACCTGAGAAAAAGAGAAAAGAGAGAAAAATATGTGCCAGATCTTGACGTCATTTTCTGACGTAGCAAGTGATTGTACAGCTCATCGTATAATGTTATTTGAAAAGCACAACAATTTAATGTAAACAGCGTATTCACTATTTTTGCTTGAATTAAAAAAATTACCATTATTAAATTTATAAATATTTATATAGTTGGTTTGTTTCTTTAGTATTTGGAGCCAACCAAGTTGAATGTTAAAAAAAAAAAGAAATTATCAAGATTTTGTAGCCTTCATCGTTTTTAAAAATTATTTTTAATATTGTTGAATAAAGATTCAATATGATTGCAAAATTGGAGATGATATAATAGAATTTGGTTCAATACAAAGGTAGTCGATTTGATGAGCAGGAGCTGCTGCCATCTGCAATAATCAATGCAGTCGACATAAACGGAAACTATTGAAACCGCATGTATATTTAAACACATGATCAGAAGCATAAAATCACTACAGAGGCCAAAGTCTTCGTCGTCAATAAATTGTTATAACAGGTGTTTTCTGCAATAAATAAGAATTCACACGTGTTCTTGAAGTGGATGCTTTGTAAGTAACGTTTATGCTCAAGAAATATATGAAAATGAACGATTTCTTATAATAAACTTGATATATATCAGAATAGAGCATGCAGCATATAAATAAAAATTTATTTTATTCCAACTTTTTTTTAGAAGTCCAAAAAAAAAATTCTTAATTAAATTAAGAAGTTATTTGTCGATTTTACTACATCATGTGTGTTACTTGGATTTCATAGCAAGTTTTAAATAAATTGAACATCAATACTGATGAAAAATATAAGTTTGAGCGTTTTAAATTCGATTAAATAAATTGAAAGACGTAAAACTCAGCATATGAATATAACCTGTCAAATTCAGATACGAAATGCATTGCATGCATTGATGCTCAATTGAAACAAGAAAAGGCAATTAGCAGATCCAATGAACAATTAATCAAGTACATTCCCGTGTCATTGAACGATACACGGTTAGACACAAAATACATATATACAATAATGTAACGTACGTATCTATACGTACTCTATTCTGTCCAAGCCAGCAAGGATATTAATGACAGTTATTGGTGAATCTGTATCAATATCATCAATTCATTAATCTCATCCTTATGGTAATTTCTTTTTGGAAAATATCCATACACTATTATGATATTCAATAATTTTTATAATAAATGATCATATCATTTAACGAAAATAAATAAAGAGGATAAATTGACAAACGTAAAATGTGATACGTTAATGAGTGGATGAACATCCAATCTATGCAGCAAAATATTGATATGATATAGTAGATTGAAAATTAAATGAGAAAACTGGAAGGGAAAATTGAATTATCAATTGCCAAATGTAATTATTTTATTATTTATAACATACAAAATTCAGCAATAATTAATAACAACATATTGATATCAATGTTATCAAACAATCTTCCAATGATGATAAAATCCATGAAAAATGAATTTGACTTATCACTCTAAAATTAGTGTTAAATTTACATCATCCAAGTCTCATCATACTAAGTTTGGCTAATAAATATGCTATTTACTTATTATAAAGCAATTGAAGTTAATTTTAATTAACCCGAGTTCATGATGATACATAATTCGATTAATGACAAAAAACCGAAAGAAAGGTATCCAAGTGAAAGAAGTAAGAGGCTTGGAAGTAGCAAGCATGTTGAGACGATGGATGCAACTCGGTGGTAAGATTGGAGTCAAGTCAGAATAAGAATAATGTATTTATGTGGCTCGTGTGTAGAGTGTATATAGGTGAATGGCGCCGTACCGTTTATCCTCTCGCAGATCCCGCTATTTCATGGGAATTGAGAGGGGATGAGGAGAGTTGTTGTCGCAGACTCGACCCATATAACTGAGAGCACGCGTGGCTGATGCGACACACAGTCGACAATCGAGAGCAGCACGTGCACTCAGTCCATGGGTGTTGGTTTGCGCGCGAATAGGTCCTACTATATAATAATACTACTCGGAGTTGCCAAGAACATAACAACTGAGAAGTTATCCCTACTCTCTGACTCAATACTCCAACCAGTATCGGCAGACCATGAGGTCATTAATTTAATGTCTTTCACGGCCATTCACCTACAATGTGTATACGCAACTATACAACTACACGAATAATCGTAATTTTCATTCATTCATAAATTCTTATCTGGCTTTTATAAAGTTACCGATAGAAAAATATAGTGGGCAAGTCATTGTTTTGAGTTAAACATAGATATGTATTTGTATTATATGTATATACATTAAAGTTTGTAAGAATGTACGATGTGGATAGATTGATGTATATAATAGCATTGAGAGTACATGCGAGCTCGAATGATTTGAGACGTCACGTGCTCTCTTGTGTTTACACCGAGTCAAGTGGTGTTGCTGACCTGGGTCAAGGTTGCCCCAATGGCTTTCGTAATCTTCGATTTAGATAACATATTCTTTCCAACTATTCGCTCTTTATTTGTCGATGAGATTACGTTCGAAAATAATAACACTCACATATGTTTGATTAATGAACTTATTGTCATTTAAACCATCATTTACTTAATCAAATATTGTAATAATTTTAAATAATAGTGAAGTTAATGAATAATCTTTTCAAATGAGAACATCATTGTTCTCTATTTGTTAATTACATTTTTCGTATAATGACACTTGATGTAGACATTTGAATTATATGCTAAGAATCTTCTTCATTTAAATGCATAAATAGAAATTACAGAGGACATTATTTATCTTTAGTCAGTAGTATGACAGTAAATACTATTTGAGTACTCCACTTTCATTCAGTCATTCTAAAAATAAGTTACCGATTCACAACGCATGAATGACAATTGAGACGAAGGGAATGGAAGGACGTACAAATTGTCTGGGAATCGGATTTTCCTTTTCTCTATCATCGATTTGCCCTCTTTCTCCACTGAATTGACCCTGAAATTGTCTAAAAATCAATTATTAGGGCAGTCTTTTATTTATACCTTCAAATTTATTATTTATTGATTATTCCATTTTAATATAATTTTATATTTAGATAGAATATAAAAAATTAAAATAAACCAAAAGATGGTATTGAATAAAGAGAAAACTAAAAATATGATTCATACTTTCATCTGAGCAAAAAAATAATTTTTCAAATTTTTTCTATGGTAAATGCTTTAGTGTCGTTGAAGCCGAGATATCGATCTCATCAGAATCCCCTTCGTGAGTATAGCTCAACGTGACAGGGGCGGATCATCCGATAAAAACATTTCCCGGACGCTTACTCTACACGCAGGTTCCCTTCCCCAAGAGAATCTCGTTAAATTGATGTTCGATATTCCTTCTGTGTGAATCTAATATTTCTCCAGTTTCTCATTATACTTGTTGTTAGATGTCACGTATGAAAAACCTTAAAAAGTCTCTTTCATTACATAGAAAAAAAAATTTTATGCTTCACGATCGTTTGATAACATCGAGAAAGTAAAATGCAATAATAAATAATAAATTGATCGAGCAATTTAAAATGAATTATGAAAGAAAAGTTAAAAATAATTTAACATGAAGAAAAAAATGTTATTTGAAATTAAATGGGGATATATTTTTGCAATCCCTAATCTTATCAAAGCTATGCAGCTTAAATTTACCAATAATAATAATACATAAAAAGAAAGTGGTAAATCTGGAAACCACAATTGCTATTAAAAAGTCTAAAGGGATTGAAAAATGAAATTTACTTGATAATGGAAATATAATTAGGAGAATAAATATTAAATGTAGTTGAATAAAAATGTTTTAAATAGACGAGAATACTTTAATTCTTTTAAAATACTTTTGAAAGAGTAGAAATGTCAGAATATAGATGACCTGTTGCTAAATAGTGTTCCTCTAATATGACAGCTAATTAAATATCTCATTTAAAACATAAGCTTTTGAAAACATATGTGCGTGCAGCCGCATGGAAGTATAAAGATATTATTCTTCTGACCAATTTGATTATCATTGATAAAATAGACATTTTTTTATTCATATTTCAAAGTAGTTTAAATCATATCATTTAGTAATTATTCAGCTAATAAACTATTCATGTTTTTTATTTATCGATAAAAAACATCAAAAGTTTTTCATTTGAGTAAAATTAAATTTAAATGACTTGATATAATAAAAACAAGTTGAGAACCATTGTTTTATTTTATCAGGTACAGCTGGAGTGATATGAATATCAAGAAAGAAGTACATTACAGTATTTTATTCGTTTAACAACGGAAAATCGACATGTTTGAACGAATACCTGGCAACCCTGCGCCTGAACGGCGGGGTTGAATTTCAAACACTTGCAGGAATGAGGGGCTTGGATTTCTTTGTATAGAGGGGACACGATATGAGGGCTTCACTGCTGTTGCTGATGCTATAGAACATAACGGTGCATTGACGGCCATGCTGTGGACTTATGGCCGCCTGGTAGGCGGACAAACAGAGTGGAAAACCAACGGCCCCTTCCTTGCCGGGTTAGGTTCAAGTTCCGCCACGTTTTACCATCGCACGAATATTCCATCACCAAAAAATATTTAACAAAATTCAATATATGAAGTATGTAATCTAAATTAAATCACATACAGTTGATGGTTTTATTAAACCTTCAAGTATAACTTGAAATTATGGTCATTACTGATATACTTCTAAGAAGCTAAAGGTTCAAGTCAACTTAGGGATTAAAATAATAAATGATGACCTCTGATCTATGTATAACCTTTCTGATATCGAGCCTTGGAATCTTCGAAAGGTTCTTATACCTGAATTTTCAAAGAACATAATAATAGTCAAACATCATTTGGAGATATTTAAATACACCATTTATCATAGGGAATTTTCCGAAAATATTTAAAAAAAAATTGCTATATTGTTGGATATAAAAATGAATATTGCTAGCCCACGGATTTATCTATTCTAAAAGCGTAAAGTTGCTTGAGTGTAAAGCATGATTCGCTCAGCACTTTCCAACACTATGTCTAGCTCACAGGCTAAGCGGTGAGGCAAGTAAAATGCTATGTTGGTCTTCCATGCAGCCTGTTAGAACAAGAGAGACAGTGAACGATAGATATGACATAGGAGTTGGTTGGTATGAGTGGGAATAAGAGAGAAGGTTTGCAGGAAGCCAGAGTGGGGACATAATGTACTAAAGTCGAAGTGGGATCACCACTACATCAATGTTCATGGACAACTACAAGTATTTTGTGCATTGGTATGTATGTTGTATATAGAGAAAATTAACAGTGTATGCGCATGTACAGATGTATACTTTCACAATGACATTATCAGTAAATGTTGCTTTTCGTAGGTAGACTTGGCACTATTAATTGTAAGAATGGCGACGCTTCTTGACTTGTCAACACACTGTAATGATGTTGCAGAATGATGCTATATAAATTTATTAAATCAAGGATATAACATAGGTATGTAATGCTATAAATGATTGAAATATAAGAGATTAGTGTATGTAACAGCCAGGTATACATAAGCAAGTGATTGTTAGCAAGCATGAGTCGAGTTTGTGAATTTTAGGTACTATATTCACCCTCCTGTCGTGAATCCAACTGGGTATATGGGCGCTGATGAATCCCTAGTGTGCGAATGAGGTTACAAGCGAAAGCTTTTGTGTACTGTCAATGTATACGTACACGTTATCTTGGTTTCGTATTAATGTGTGACTGTTTGCTGCTCTGGTCAATACATATATACGTGTATGTGTTGGTACTATTCGTATATAAAATGTGCGCGCGCACGTCCCACACAAATAGAGAAAGTTGACAGCATAACGACCATGAGAGGACCGAACCAAGTGCCAGCCGTTGTTGTATACGGCACTGGCGTGCCTCCCAGGCTTAGAATCGATTTCCAGTCTGGCTGGCCAGCAATATAATCGAGCGAAAAGAATATAAACTGACTGTGAGAGTCCGGTTTATACTTTCAAAAAGATCTTTAGGTATTTGAGCAATAAAGAGCCCGAAGGCAGGCTAGAAATTTTCAATTGATGCCTAGACATAAGGGTGCAAAGTAGTTTTAGAAGATGAGTATAACGTCAAGAGGGAACAGGGGGAAGTACCGAGGGACAGTTGGCGTGGAAGGTCGGTTGCGCGAGCAACGTGAGCCGTTCTAAGTTTAGTGGTAGGGGAATGTTAAAGCGAAAATGCTGCCCTCAGACGGCTAACTAATTCACTAATATTAATGCAGGAACAAATCGACTCTATTCGAGAGATACACACTCTGTGTTCCCGTTTCGCGAGGTGTATATCCTCTGCGCGCACAAAATACAAAGTGTGTGTTCGACCCGTCGGTTGTGGCTGAGGTTGAGAGACGAGCGGAGAGGCCTCAAAGTGCATCGTGGTTTCAAGTAGGAAAACTGTACTGGTGAGCAATCGCAAGGGAGTTGAGTTCTTTCTCTCACTCTCTATCGTTCACTTCGTCATTACTCGTACATATACACATTTCTTTATATACTTGATGCATGGTGTAGTGGCGATGGGAACGTGAAATAAAGAGTATTAATTGTATTGAAAATTTTACGCGTTTTATTATTAATTATTGTTATTATCATTATTTATTATTATTGTAATATTATGTGATTTTTTTATTTATTTTATTTTATTTTTCATATTTTTCTTGAACAATAAAGCTACCCGTGGGAGTGCTGACATTACTTCAAGTGGAGCGTAAATGGAACGAGTGACATCGACAGACAAGGACAACGTCGAGTAAAGAAAAGTAGCTGTAGTGTAATGAAGACTGATTACTTAGGAGTTTTTTGGAGCGAAGAATAAGTGTTTATTTCATCAATCAATTTTTTCAATATTATTATAAATCTAATGAAAATTAGTTTTATAAAGTAACTCAGGGAGGTATCCATTGAGTGAGAACAAAGTGTATTCGAAATTCACATCATTAAGCGAATACGATCCAAGTGCCGCAATTTTGCAGTATCCGCATTCAATCATTTTTGAATTTTCCCGGACGTGCAACTAAATCGTTCGGTCGAGGCTGGTGGTAGTTGCGGCGAGTGACACGGTCGAAAATTTTATACATATACCTACAGGCAATAGGGAATATATAAGGACGTTACTGTGTGTGCGTTAACAACGGGACAGAGAAGAGAGGGGAAGTTAAAGCGAGGAGCGTGAGCAAGAAGAGAGAAGAACAAGTGAGCAAGAGAGAGGAAAATAGCGAAAAAGAGTAGCACTCGAGTAAGAGAGAGAGAAGGATTGAGAAAGTGAAAGAGGCGGTATATCTAGCCGTGCAGTGCTGCCCCCTATTGGTTAAGTTATCCCCACTATTTGAGAAAAGGACGGGACGGGGTCCAAGCGAGGGGCTTGATCGCACGATTTTTCCCCACCAGAAACTGAAATTTCGCAAGCATTCTGACGGAGTGTATCGCGCCCCATGAGTTGTAGCCTGATAGAGCCTGTAGTGTGATCAGTGGAGCTTGTAACTGAATTCAGGATCAGTTAAAATTCAGCATTGTTTAGTGAATCGAAAGAAAAAGAAGACAGCAATAAGGCGTTTTTCACAACGCCGTTATTGGGGAATATAACAGTGGCCTAAAGAGCCGTAGGAGAAACCAGTCGAGTCGAGGACGGCCTCGTGAGAGCTCCAAGAACAAACAACGGAATATTACAAAGTGTAAACTAACAATTTTTGTATTATTTATCATACATTTTTAATAATAATCATCATCCAGTGGATTAGCCGCGTATGTACACGCTGTTCGTGCCGTCACCGGCAAAATCAAGGGAGTTCAAACGAGACAGAGGGTGAAATAGAATATCTCGCGAGACGCGCGCACGGTGAAGAGAGGGAGACTATTGGAAGGAAGAAGAGGAGGGTTAATACGGAGTGACAGAGAAGGAATATTGCCGTGTTCGCCATCTGGTGTCCAAACTACTGATTATAGTCTTCACAATGGCTTCCGTGAAAGACACGGCGACTTTCTTCGCCGAGGGTACTGCTTCTCAATTTGAACACGTACTCAAACTTTATCCACAGGCCCTCAGATTAAAAGCCGATCGAAAAACCAAGAAACCTGAAGAACTTATTAAATTGGATAACTGGTAAGTTGATGATAAATCGTCTTTCACGACTTCGATGACTGTCGCGGTGTTTCAGCAACACTTTGGTTTGTTTGCCCATTCGAAAAGGGGCTTACACAGCACACACGGGACAATGAACCCGTGCTTTTACTACTTGCCAGCACGTAGCATACTGCCCGTGTGTTCGAACGCACAACTTACAATCTCTCGATTCCCCTCGTGTACTAAATGTGTCTTTCTCTTAATGCCCTCTATTAGCACTTACTGCTTACATCAATCAACTATTTGGCAACATACTTTTACTACTTTGTTTTATTTCTATTGATACTACCAACTCATCACGTTATGTGTCACGTGGCAACTTTTAACTGCATCAGTTTCGTTCGATTATCGGATTTCCTTCATTTTTTGATTATTTCCTTTCTCTCAATCGATTGGATGTCTTATTATTAAAGCCTTCATGAAGATGATTATTTTTTTAATTAGATTTTTAATTGTTATTATACGTTTATACTATTAATTTTAAATTAAGACGATAAAGTATGTTGATAGTTTAAAAATTTCATGGCTCCAAAATCTTTCCGCTCAATTTAAATGAAAAAATTCCATTTTAAAATCAGCTCACTGAGTAATAATTCACATCTAAATTCATTCTTGAGAATTTTTTTTCAGTAGAAATTTATCACTACTTGAATATTAGCTGCTTAATGAAAAATAAATTTGGCTTGGTAATTCTATTATTCTTTATTACAATAGTTTTCATAATATGATTCATTAAATTTTTTTACGGTATTATTTAAATATTCATTCCTTCTGAAAAGTATATGAGCGAAAATTTCTTAATTATAGACATCTTGAAGTCTCAAAAATCTTTAATTAGGTTCTAATGGAGCAAATCAAATGCCAGAAATAACTAATGACTTTTAAATGGACTGCTATCATTAAGATTACATTTAAACAAATTAACACGTTAAATGGTGAATTATTTATTATTTTACTGAATGAAAATTTTGTAAATTAGTTTGTTAATAGTATGTAGTAACTTTATTTATTAATAGAAAATCGTATTATTATTAATACAGTAAAAATTGTTTAAATTATTCAAAATTAATCGTTTTCAATATGGAAAAGTAGTTGATATTAATACATATTGTATGCAATAATTGAACTTTTTTATTTCTCGTGCAATTCACTTATCAAGTATTTATGGATTTCCTTTGAACATTTTTTTGTTTCTTAATTTAATACATTTGTTACTTGTTTTTTATTTTTTCCCTTATTTTATATTGTATATAATTCCCACAAGGTTTCTCCTGCAACACTGGCGATAACAAGCAGAGACATGTATTGATCAGAAGCTTTTGAATCGTATAGTTTTCCGTCGGTAACGCAAAAGCTTTTGCCGTTCAATATCGTTCTATAAATTTTAAATTTCTTTATTGTTTTAATGAAATAATTCTTAATTCATTATTACTACAGTTTTGATAAATTGTTTTTATATATGTAGGCTCCAATATTGATCCATCTCTTGGAAACTATTTTCTATCCTATTTCACATTTTGAATGATTCCAGAAATATTATTTTCCATTGAAGCTAATAATTATAACTTATAGATTTAATTGATATATTTATTCTTTATTGTATATAAAATTATTTTTAGAAACCGTAATAATATAAAGTGGGATGAAAATTCTGTTAATTATCGTTCATAATGCGTTTTCATGATATTTATCCAGCTAAATACCTTTAGTTTATTTTTTGAATTATGAAATTAATTATTTGTTTTTTGTAATAATAGTTATAAAAATATTTAGAATTATTTTTTAAAACTGTAGTACTTGGCATTTGTAAAACATCGTTTGTGTGGTAAGTGTCAGTCATTGAGTTACTACTACACGAAGCTGTTTCACTACTCTGTCAACTAACTACATAAGTGTTTTTTGAAAACCAATGTAATGGCACAAAGTCCCATACTTCTATTATGTATGCTATTTTAACGAATTATTCAGATATTTATACTAAAAATCGTGTTATTTATGTCTAAATTTTCATTCATTTCGTGCCGTCATTGTTTCATTTTTTTTTTATTACTACTGTTTTTAATTGATTGTTATTTTGTGCAGATTAAATTGTGATAAGTTATAATTATGTCAGTTTACATTTGTTTTTATATTTATAATTTATTGAAAAGTTGGAAAAATAATTAGTAATAGTAAATAACATTTTAATTATTTATAAAATATTTTATAAATATCTTTTTTGTTCATAACTTACAAAATTTTATGGCAAGATTTTATAAAAGCATGGACTACGCGGCGATTGTGTCAAGGCTGTTTTTGTTGGAGTGTGTTGCGTGCCGGGAGCGCCTCTCAAAATGGACGCAAGCACGCTGCGTCAGCGTGTACTGAAATTTCCCCACCAAAGATCATGTTGAAGCGAAATAATGGTTTAACTTAAAATAATGGTTTCAACTGTTAAAACTTTTTTGCTTGCCTCTTTTTTTTTCTATTTTTTTATTCCCTTAAATTTTATGTTGTTCTCTTTATACTCTCTAATATTCACGTACTTTTTCAAACGTTTATCACACAAAATATTCCACACGGGTTTCATTTATCAATATTAGAAATAAAATTATTTTTAATTATAACTATAGAAAGCAAGATTTCTTAATTATTGGATAATTTAGGGTAAAAAACTCATTAAACACATAATTAATCGTTGTTATTTTTTGTTTGTTTTTAAGGTATCAAAATGAACTGCCAAAAAGGATAAAATCTCGTGGAAAAGATGCTCATCTCAATCATGAAGAATTGGTGCAGACAATGAAATGGAAACAAACGGTAAGTGTCATTGGAAAACTTGATGATAAAGAGCTGTTGAAGAAAGTTTATCTTACCTTAGTATTTGATAATTATTTAGTCTATTAATTTGCTTGTTGGTAATTTGGAAACTTTCAGCGTGGCAAGTTTTACCCTCAACTCTCTTACTTGGTGAAAGTTAACACTCCACGAGCCGTAATGGCAGAAACGAAGAAAGCTTTCAAAAAGCTGCCAAACTTAGAACAAGCTATCACAGCTCTCTCGAATCTCAAAGGTGTTGGAACAACTATGGCATCAGCTCTCTTAGCCGCAGCATCACCGGAAAACGCTCCATTCATGGCTGATGAATGTCTAATGGCAATACCAGAAATTGAAGGCATAGATTACACTACCAAGGAGTACCTAAATTTTGTTCAACATATTCAGAACACTGTTGAAAGGCTTAACAAACAGAGTGAGTATTTTTAAATTCTTTTTTTCAATATTAGATCTTCTAGAACAAAAAAAGATAAATAGTTTAAAATATTTTATTACTGTTAATTTAGATAATATTTTTAAAGCCGAAATAGATCAAGTTATGCAAAAATATGTAAATTGAAAAGAATTTCTATTTCAATTTTTATTTTATACTTTCACACATTATTGCATAAAATATTAATATATGAATATATAGTTTAAAATTATATTATATACATAAGATGAAAGAAAAAACTGAGTCCATCTTAGTCACTACTTGATTGCGACAGTTTATTGATTCGGCCTGACCGTGACCATCGATTAATGTCAAATTACAGCTACAAATGGAAAATCATGGAGTCCACATAGAGTAGAGTTGGCCCTATGGACTCACTATGTAGCATCAGAATTAAAGCCAGAATTGTTGGATGGGATCCCGGGACTCATAGAAAATGGTAAGACTCATGCACCAACCAATGGTGAAGCCACCGAACCATCGGATGATAGCAATCAAGATGCAGCAGTTGTAAACGGCAAAGAATCTTCAACAATTGACCCAGCAGCTATTGATGAGAATAGCACTACCACCTCGTTCACTGAAGATTCAATGGATAAACCAGCAACGCCAATCACTGCAGTAGTACCAAGTGAAGACACAAATGATTCAATAACCACTAATGAAAATGATGACTGTAGCAATACACCACGACCGACTGACAGTGAGGATACAGAAGATTCGCAAGATGTTCAGGAACCCCCAACTAAAAAGACGAAAAAGTGACCACAAAGCTGTACTTCTTTAAACCATGTCCACAGCCTTGTGTTGGCCACCAACATGACTCCGATCACAGCGAGACGTTTTTAAATCGCAGGAGTTACCACCAATGCAACTAAATTAGCAAAAATAACAAAATAAATATAATAACTAACTGATCATCATTACAACACCTCAGGAAAGTCGTGAAAAAGAACACCAGTTCAATCTCTGTTTCACATTTAGTCTCTTTCATTTTCTCATCCTACTTTAAGTAGAAAAAAAAATTATTTTTCATCATGAATCTTTTGTTAAAACTTATATTGATTGTTTTAATAAAAGAAAACAAGTAAATTAAAACGATAAAATTGTGCAAATAATTTTGAATGAATTATTTTAAGCTTTATACTGAAAGATAATTCGTTTTTCTCATCGTATATTATGTACACAATGTAGGATAATATTGTGTAAAGGCCAACTCTTTAAAAAGCGACTTCAGTGGCTTGTGCTCCGTGCCTATTCTGAGCTCATAATTGATTCAAGATTAACAGAAAATATTGGGTATACATAGATACATGAAATACAATTGTAAAAAAAACCAATATCTCATTTAGTAGTATTTATATTTATAAATAAAGAAAAATAATGAAAGAAAAAAGATATACTTTTGAAGTCTACTCTTTTTGTTGATAGTAATCTTTCTTCTTAAATATTAATGAAAGTTTGGCTTTGAAATATGTGATTCTTGCGTGATCGGAGGATACGTTGAGATTTGTTGTAAATCGAAGCACGAACAAATAATAATGCGTAATATAATATTTATTGTTAATTTTTGTTTCAATGATCCAGCTGACGAGCTTAATAATAGTTTTCATTATTATTTCATTTTATTTCTTAAGAAAGCAACAGATCAATGCGCCCTTTATTATCTTCACTACCCAATATATATTTAAAGTCAATGCAATTTTAGAAAGAATGGAAAAATTTACAATAAAGAGTTGTCGTAAAGATAAGTGTCAGTGAGAAAACTTGACAAATTTTTTGATGAATTAAAAAAAAAAACTTTTACTTTCAGTAAGTTATTCTAATCAATTGGTTTTTGCTATGAATTATTCTTTATTAGCAATGTCTCATTAATAATCATTTTTAATTGTAAATTCCATCTTTTCCCTATATTGGTGGTTAATGAATTTCTTTTGGTGTAAATTTGATAATATAGTGTGATGTACCTTACAACATGAATTAAAAAATTGCAATAGAATGTACGCGAAACAGATATAAATCCGTATGTAGCTATATGAATATAGAAAGTAAACACAAAAAAAATGATTTTCATGATTAAGACATTACACTAGAGTGTTATGATAATGACAATGATGCTGTTAGTTAACAATAAAGATAAATAATTATAATAACTTGTATTAATAACAATGGTAATAATAATAATAATGATAATGAAGATGATAATAATTTATATATATATAGATATATATATATACATAGATATATATTACAAAAAATTACATGTTTAATGAGTGACATACAAAGCAAACCAAAAATTTGCAAATATCCTCTTAATAAAACAATAACAACTAATCATGTAACCCTTGAAATCTATCGATGGAAAAGAAATGCAAGAAAAAAGATTGTGGTCTTGTAAAAGAAATAATTACGTCGAGATTTCTTTGTACAGGAATATTACTAATATTTTTGCATCAGAATTAAACAAGAAAAATAATAAATCATAAAAGACATTACACACAGAAATAGAATATTGGTGAAAAAAACTCAGCAAGAATAGATGAAGAGAACGTTAAAAGAATGATAGTAATATGAAAGTGTTGGATGTATGTATTTTGAATTTATCTGAATAACTGAACGAATGATTTGTGATTAGTGAATAGTTATGTGAATTAATGCTGATAAAAAATTCAGTAAATATTAAAATAAGCTTCGCTCGTAATTATTAATCATTAACACTTTTTAATCAATTATGATATCGATAAGTAATTAATTAATGATAGTGCGAATATTTCGTTATTTTAAATATGTTTTTGCATCTTATATAGAATGTAATTAGAATGATGAAAATAAAAATTATAAAAAATCTAATCTTACATTTAGAAGCAAACAATTTTCTATGTAATTATAACACTTATTACTATTTCTCTTCTTTTTCTTATTTAATATCATTCTCGATATTGACTAAATATAATCAAGTGTTCAATTAATATGCTGGCATTTTATTTTTTTCTTTTAGTCACTTTTCATTAATTCAATGAATGCCAAGTATAATAGTAGTTTATTATCACGACGAATGATAATAATTATCATTTTCGTTGTTTCATGCTGATACTTAAATGATTGTCTACTTGAAACTTTTAATCATATCATCATTTATTTTTTTCATTAATCTCAATCTTGAGAAGTGTTTATTTTCGTGGGGGTCCTAGGCGCAAACATTCCATATTATTTCAAGTTATTTGAAATAACAATAATCTACATGTCATACTACATAAAATCATTAAATAAAAATGATTATTATTATTATTATTATCATTATTATTCTTTATATTATTATTATACATTAATGAATACAATTATGATTGACTGTATAGTTTCAAATGATTGTGCATAAATAGGGGCGCATTATAATGTAGATTATAAATTATCATTAGTAAAAATATTTTCAAGTTCACTGTCATTAATGATTAATAAATCATGAATTGATTAATTGAATTATTTTATATTTTATTTTTGTATTTATCTAACTAATTGCTTTAATATTTTTTTTCTATTGTAGAATAAACGAAAAATTTAATTAATTGATAAAACATCTTCTTCTATAATATTGGTAGAAATAATTATGTTAATTAAAGTAACCTTAATATTAATCAGGCAATGATATTTTTTTATTAATATTCCACTGAATAAAAAATCTTCAAAAAGTGATATAAATTATACAAAATTCACTTTAATAAGATCACAATTCAAAAAATAAACTTGCACTGTCACGAATAATAAAATAATTTAAGTGATGATATAAATATGTTTATTATACTGATGTACTATACAGTGATGATTGTTCAACACGTTAATTTTATATAATTATCAATATATAAATCTAAACGTAAAAATAGTATTTTGAAAAGTAACAATATTAAGAAATAAATTTTATTAAAAAATTTTTATGATATTAATAATGATAATATAAAGTTAGCTGAGATAAAATAAATGGTAATTAAAAGGAAATAAATTTAAAAAAAAAAATTGCACATACGTTTATCACTGGAGAAAAATAAAGAAGATGTGCGGAGCACTGCCATGGAGCGATTCGCCGATTAAATTTTTTCGTTAGTAAAAACTTATAAGTAGAGATGTAGAGCACTACTAATATTATATACTCATACGAAGTATGATAAATATGTGTAGTTCTACGCTGAGAGGAAAATAATGGAAAAATATATTATCTAAGCTTGTTAATCAATCAATATCTATTGAAAATGATTATCAATATTACTTTACATTAGAAATACTATTCTGACCAAGATAAATTAAAAGAAGATTTCTGATGAATTTTTAAATAGAATCCTCTTAAAGAATCTATAGATAATTATTTAAATTAAAAAAGATATTTATGGTTTTTTCTAACAGATGTATTTTAAATACTATTTAATAGATAATATTATTATTTCAATAAAAGCTGGCTGTTTAATTAATAAACAATTGAATAAATATTTAAAAGAAAATTTATAAAATTTTGATTTCTTATTAATTTAATAGATACAACAAATAAAGTTTTCTTTAAATGTAAAATTAATCAACATAATAAATTAAAAGAATAATAAAATAATGAAAAAAAAAAGACTTTTTATATTGTACCTCGTCATATAGGATTCTGGAAAATTTATATATAATAAAATAAAAATTATAATCTTAGTGCTGGATACAAAAATATATAAATTTAGGTATTTCACTTATGGCCTTAACATGCAGTAAAAATGAAATCGATTTACAATTTTTTTTTATGATTTATACTTATAACTAATATTGATAATTTATTTGATGTGTATGATTATAATCAATTGTACGGTATAGTATAAATATAAATCATAATTTGTAATAAATAAAAGTGTAAAAGAAATGAACAATAGCTGGGATGAGAAATTGAAAAGCTGAGTATGAGTATACAAGACAAAAATGTACGAATAATGAAATGCATTCTATTCGTGCAAATGCATCTGGTGGTAGGGTCGTAATAGTGATTGTGGGCACATTCGTATATAATTAAATATATACATACAAATTTTAATAATAAATAGTGAATAATTAATAAATAACGATGCTATTGAACTATTATTATAACGACCACTATACCTATGATTACGATTTAAATAATATAAAAGATAACAAGGTGATTGATGGAAAAATTCAGTTAAACACAAATGATTGTAATTATCGGAGTGAATAATACTGTAGTGAATGATTATTTAAAAAATAAATAAAAATATACAGTGAATCTCCACATAATATTTCACTTATTCTTCATTCAAACATTAGTTAATCATCTCAATTAAAAACTAATTTATTAACAACTAAATACATTTTTCGTAATAACAATATGCTCTTGCTGTCTATTGTTTTCTGTATAATAAGAAAAAAGTATGTGATCCATTGGCCATTCATAAGCCGTGTAAAAATAATTAGCACTAAGTTGTCGTGCTGTTTTCTCTGCTCATAAAATTTACAGATTTTGAGTTGAGGAATATTTTCTTGTCATTATTTTTTTGATATCACTAATAGATAAGTCGTAAATTGTATTTAATCATTCAATTGTTTATAATAAAAAAACTGATTACTTTAAAAAAAAATAACCAACGACTTCGGATTCCTCATTTCAAAATCTATGAGCAACAGTTTTGAAGACATCAAATTGCATACAAGACTTATGGATGGAGTTTATGATATAAAAAGATCATTCAGACATAAGTGCATGTGCATGTATGCATGCCCACTTAAATGGATAATATTAGTAAACAATTCTAATATGATCAGACGAAAGATCAATGTACTATAGAGTAGGTCTGAAGACTGAAAGATGAAGTAATCAAAGTATGAGATCGAGCGATGTATGTGATATCAAAGTAGAATAAAAAAGATAAAAATATTGAGTACTGTTGTAGTCAAAGGAAGATGAAAAACGGAGATGAAGAAAGAGAGAGATGGTGATCGGGCAAATGCCGACAGGTCGTGTGATACTTTGGATTACGTCACAGACGGAACAACTGGTTGCCAGTCAAGGGGCCGGGGAAGTCGGGGGATATTCGATGGGGGTTTCCCGAGGTTCGCGGGACGAAATCGGAGGACTGCAGAATAGTAAGAGAGAAAGAATGAGTATTAGAAGGAGAAGAAGACTTGCGACGTGCGGGCGGGATGATATATACAAAACACAAGGTCACGAGTAAGGTTTTACGTGTGTGTACGTGGGTATCTGTAAACATTGAGTGACGTAGCACATGCGACTTTAATGTGAATAGGACATTTGAGAATGGCTAAAGGGATCACATTCTTATACCTTTTGATTTGAGCTTTCATTTTCCTTTTATCATTTACTATCAATACTGTCACCAATATTTTCCCATTAGTTTATTCAAGTATTCATCTACATGTTCATATACATTTCACTCCAATTATTGCAATTCTTTTATTTTGTTCATTAAAATACCTTCATAGATTGCATTTCATGTCTTCTTGTCATTACTTTCTAGAAGAGATTTTTTAGTTTTTTTCTGCTCATTTTTGTATTTTATATTTATTGCTGTTCATCGTAGTATTTCACTGCATTCATGCACGTTTGCTATAACGTCATAGTAGTCTCCATGGTATAATCCTAAAAAAATATTTTCTCGGTATGATAGGATAAATTCTTGATAAAGCGTCTGATGTATTCTATTGAAAAAGAGAAAATGAGAAAAGAAGGGATGAGACTCATTTTAGATAGCTGAAAAAGATACACATATTTATGTGCTTACTTAGTGCATTCTATAGTAGAGGTAGAGACCAAGTAATAAGTAGGAGTAAGTGGAAAACCTATATGCCAGCATGATGGTATATGAAACATAAGGATATCTTTGAAAGATTGGAAGGATTGAAATTTCCCTTTGTCATTTTTGAACAGCCCCTTGTGTAGGTTGGTTGAATGTGGATATATTAGTTTTCTCATTTATAAGAATGTATTAGTAAGTATACCGTAAGCCCCAAGAACTTCCTGCCAGTTCTGAACAGTACCCATGGCAGTGTTGCCACGGCAGCTGGTTGATGACTGTAACACTGCTGTGCATGACTCGCTTGGCTTGAGCTTTTCGAGAATTTCTTTTCTGTCTTTACTAACGACTTTGTAGAATTTCAGAGCCAGAAGTATGATTGTTATAAGTAATGAAGCCATTATATCAATCTTTTTTAATTCCCCAAGCTTTAATCATACTTTTTTTCTTCCTCTTTCAAACGAGAATATTGAAAAAAAATTAATGAAAATGATGATTCTTCATTTTTCTAGTTTTTTATGTTGAAATATTCTACACTGGCTTAGTAAAGATAATTTATAGCATCAAAGAGTATTTAAAAATGTTCAATATGACTTTATTTACGATATTAATCATTGTTATTCAATATTATGATATTTTAATGTTATCGTTAGGTAATGTACGTTTATTGATGTCTTAAATTACTGTGTTATTGGTATTTCATATAATAATATTTCTATTTCAATATCACAATAATGATCTGATAAATTTGAGTTTGTAATTGAAAAAGATATTAATGATTTAAAATAACTACACTCAGTAAAATTTTTATTAAAAATACTTTTATTAAAATATTTTTTATAAATATTATTCCAGTATTGGGGTATGATATAAACAAAATGTTGTTATTTTCACATTTTTGAGAAATCTTTAGATAAATGCTAGCACACTAACACTTTACAATGTCATATTCCTGGCAGTGTGTTCAAAGCAGCTGCTTGGAAGGCAGGTGCTCAAAATAGCTGCCTTGAAAGTCATCGTTTGAGCTATTGCTCATCCAATACACCTGCAACGTATTCCTTTACTTCAAGGGCATATTATAAAAAACTTTTTTTTTTTTTTTAATCTTTAATAATTATTCATCTAATTATTTATCACTTATGATACATATTTACAGATTGAGCTATATTAATAGAAAATAAATTTTTTCTCCATCTCTACACTTTATTTACAATGTTAATATTAATTAATTATCATTAATAAATTATCTTCCCTCTTTCCGTGATTTTCAAAAATAGTTTCTGAATGATATTAATTATTGGAGATTTAAAATTTTTTCAGTCGCATTTTTATTTGAATTCGAAAACATAAAGATAGAATTCGAATGATAAACACCCTTTATTTTTTGTTAATACCGTGAAACTTATAAATGTCTATTTATGATTTTGTTAAAATATGAATGCATCAATTTGTTGAAGTTTATGTATAAAAAAAAAAATAAGCCTGACAGTATTTTTTTGTTGTTTTACATAAAGTGCAAATAAATCCGAATAGCCGGCACGGTTGCACCAAAGTCGACGTAACTACATAGTGTTGATACACACACACACACCTACAAATAAATGTATGACTACGCGTGTATAAAGTGAATACATACCTACCATTGACCGGGATATCGTCTGTCTCTCGGGATGAATGAACCGTTACGTCACGCACTTGCACTCTCAATGCTCCCGCGTCCTCCCGTCGTTGCCGTTGTCGTCGTCGTTGATATCTTCGTCATTGTCGGCTCTCTTTTCTCGCTCTATCACTCTTTCTCATTTCATCCTCTTTCTCTATTACTAAGTCTTCCTGCGCCTTTACTACTTTTCACAATGTGCTTGCATTATATTATGTATCTTGCTCTTTCTATCGATTACTACATCACGTCATCAACTACTACATTACGTATAGTTTTGATATGGAGGTCAACGTATTGTAGGTGCAGACAGCGACTAGACACACGCGATAGTTGAGGAATAAAAATTACTACCCCATGCTTTTCTTCACTTCTCGTCATTTGCTAGACTATCCTCATTCTGTTTAGTGTCATATGTCAATGGATTTTTTTCTCAATTTTTTGTCATGTCATGAATCGTTAAATTGAATAGATTACAAAGTTGAAGAAATTCTTCAGTACGGCAAATTTTTTATTAACCTTCCAAAATAGGTTCTCGAGGTTCTCTTCCAGTTTCTTTTAAATTTGGATACAATTTTGCTTTGGGTCCATCACTATTAATACGACCATGAAAATCAGGTCGACGTTCTTTGGGTGTCATTCTTTGAAGCCAAATTTCAAGTAACGTCTTAGATGTTGAATTTTTTTGCGCTTGCTTGGTGAGGGGTGTTGACGGACAAGAAGGCGGAGGAGACATTGGAGAGTCAGTTGTTGCTCGGATTACACTTGCACGTAAAGTTTCATCTTTATTGACACTGTAAAAAGAGATTTTTAGTATAGAAAATCATTTTATAATCAAGTAAAATACATACTTTTCTGATTTTCGTAAAGGTTGATCGATCTCCATCTTGTCTTTATCATCTTCTTTTCGAACTTCGAGAAAACAATTAAGTATTTCAGCATGCATCGAAGAGTTATTAGCATGAACTTTCAGAAACGCTTCCAGCTCTTCCCACAACAACCGGTAATGCTCTCGACGAACTCCACCTTTTCCACCTCGTACTCCAGCCAGATTTGGTAGAGGTAAAGGTTCATGTTTTGATTCTAGTTGAAGTAACTTAAATATTAACTGCTTACATTTTAAATGTTCATCTTTGGTAAGCTCTTCTTTAATCATCAATTCGGGTAACGGACTCATAATCTAAAAAAAAAATATCAGAATGATTTTAAATTACACAGATATTTGAATTTAAAAGATTCACAAACATAAAATATTTACCTGCTTTAAATTGAAGATCAAAGTACTTGAAATAGTAATTGGCCAATATCTTGTGTGTCTTTCTAATCTCGCTCGCATTTTGTTAATTGATTCATTACTATCATCATTAGAAGAACGCTTTAAAGGTACTAAAATATTAGCTTGCATAAGTGTACCAAAATCCTAAAAAGGAGAATCATCCAAGTGAAATGAATTTATGGAATGATAATTTTTATCTTTTGTAATAACATTAAAAAAAATTAAACACTTACGGTAATTCTATAGTCAGTAAGTCGGCCACCACAGCCCTCGCTAATTGACGGTGGATCTTCAAGAACACTTCGTGCAGTAGAAAGAGTGTGAATAAAAATTTCTCCACCATGAGAAGCTAGCAGATGAGATATTGTTTTGCCTCCACTTTTACGTACCATCTCCAACATAACAGACCTACCATTAAGAAGAAAATTTATGAGGCATGAAGATGGTCGGCTGTTAACATCTACTGGTGTTATTCTGTGCATTGCGGTGCAATTTTGCATTTCAGATGCACTGCAACCTCTAGGTGTGCACCATTTTAAAGTGACAGTTTCATATTCTGAACCTTCCTCAAACCTCCTGAATGTTTTCAATAATGCTGAGTCTTGAGGATTCCCTAGATGATGAAAATTATTTTATGCTGATTAAACTTTAGATCAATTGAGAATTATAATGTGTTCAAACATTTTAGTTACCATTTAAAATAGAGGAATGAGCATTAAGTGAATGAAAAATTTCTACATCGTAATTAGCAGAAGAACTAGCATTTTGTTCTTCTTTCATTGGTATTCCAGTAACAGTCGTGCTCGCAAGATCATAGTGAGATAATATTAGATGTGATAACTTGGAATGTAAGGCTGTGGCTTTCATTGAATGTACTTCCATCGTGAGAACCGGCGATATCTGTGGTAGAGAAATATATTTAATTAATATTTTATTTTTAGATTGAAAATAACTATTATCATTTTTATTTTAAGTTTAAATATTTTTTATATAATTCTTTCAAACCTCACGGGGGTTTTGGTTGGTTACTTGAGATTCAATATTGACTGGAAAAATGTTTAATATGACTAAATGGCAATGATGTATTGGCATCAAACTAAAAAAAAAACAATAATCAATTAATATTGCAAGTAAATACTTGTAATGATTTAAACATAATATTTTTACTTACTGATCTGATCCAAGGGCTATTTTATTTTGTAGTGTAAGTTGATTTAAAAATATATTCTCTAAACTTTTCATATTAATATTATCTCTAGCACTAGTAATACAAATGACCCGGCCTCGATTGAGTATTTTAGTAGTTTCATTCAAAGAAGTTCGATGAGTGTGTTGAACTTCAGTACATTCAGTTAAAGCTTCAATTGCAACTCGTAATCCATGTATTACTGAAAAGTCAACTCCAGGTTGGTGAGCTCTAGGTGGAACTCCAATAATAGACATTCCATTCATAATCTATGATTTAGTAAAGAATAAATTATTTTAGGAGTTAACTTTTGCCTATATTTTCTTTAATCGATTGAAAAATTTATGTAACTTTACATGAGATAAATTTTGTTGAAGTGGATTCCAAGTATTTAAAATATGTGCTGCGTGATCACTGGCAACAAATCTCACCTAAATAAATAGTTTTACATTAGATTCGAGTAACATAAATATACGATTTAATAAAAGACAAAAGTACCAATTTTCCAGAAGGAAAAAGATCCCAAACGATTCTACAGTATTCCATTGATGATTCAACACTTGTAGTCCATAGAGATTTACATATTGGTGCTAAAGGTATGTGATTAGGACCACGACTTTTTAAACATTCAAATTCAAGAGGACTTTCTGTTGATATTCCAAAATAGGGAGTATGGTCTAATACAAAAACTGTTTTATGATTTGCCGGAAACATTTTTTATAGTTTATATATGAAAATTGTTTTCTTATCAAATTACATCCAATTTTTGTAAACACATTTAATTTAATAATTGTTTTTCATAAATAAATTTATGTTTGTTATTATGAATAATAAAAAAAAGAGCGTATTACTAGAATTCTATATATCGCACTTTAATTAAAATATTAATAATTTTCATCAATTAAAATTATTTAAAAATTCTTAGTCGGTGCATTTTACACAAATAACATTTTATATTTCGCTTTTGAGGTTAGAGATACGAGATTTTACTACGTTAATCAGTACCTTCTATTATTTTGGAATTTCATACAAATAATAATTATTTAGAATCAATACATAAACTTAATTTTATATATGAATTATAAAATTAATTTTTTCATATGTATTGAGAATAATTATTGCTTTATTTAATTCAATAAAGAAATGAAATTGATCACAAAGTACTTCCTAAGCAGGAACAAAATGGCGTTCTCTCTTTTTACACTGGATACCTCCAAGTGGCATTATACAACGTAAGTAATCTTCTAGTTTTCGATATTTTATTAGTTTTTAATTATTTTCTATATCATACAAAGAATCTTTTAAATATAAATTTACTTTATATTTATAAATTTATATTGAATTTATTATTTTTTTCCAGTAAAATTAAAAAATTAAGTTCATTGATTGCCGGATGAGAACACGTGGTTCATGAACCTACAAAATTTTATTTATTTTTTAATAATATGTTATATATTTATTTTTTTTTCAATTTTAGGTTGATTCGTAGTTCAACCACAACGTTACGATGTCGGGAGGATTAGATGTATTAGCTCTTAAAGAGGAAGATGTAACCAAAATGTTGGCTGCATGTACCCATTTGGGAAGTGAAAATGTTAACTTCCAAATGGAACAGTATGTCTACAAACGACGAGTTGATGGTAGCTATCATAACTTATAATTTCAATGTTTTATCATTATTTATAGCTCAATGTAATTTATGCTCAACTAATTTACAGGAGCCGGAGTGACTGTTATTAACTTACGTCGTACCTGGGAAAAACTTCTCCTAGCTGCCCGAGCTATTGTAGCAATTGAACATCCTAGTGAAGTTTTCGTTATCAGTTCTCGATTCCATGGACAAAGAGCTGTTTTGAAATTCGCAGCTCATACTGGCGCTACTCCAATTGCTGGAAGATTTACTCCTGGAGCATTTACTAATCAAATTCAAGTATGATTTTATTGTTATTATTAATTTATTTGCAAACTAATTATTTTGAATGATGATGACATTTTTTGATAGAAATAATCATGTTGAATATCAAGGCTTAATCTTTTCTGATAAAGGCTATTATATATACAAGTATATTTTTTCTTATTTTCAATTTATTTAAAAAAAATTTTGTTTTATTTACAGGCTGCTTTCCGTGAACCACGTTTATTGGTAGTTACTGACCCAGCAGCTGATCATCAACCCATCACTGAAGCCAGTTATGTCAACATTCCTGTTATCGCTTTCTGTAATACAGATTCACCATTGCGGTTTGTTGATATTGCAATTCCTTGCAATATTAAGAGCATTCATAGCATTGGTTTAATGTGGTGGCTGTTAGCACGTGAGGTCCTTCGTCTTCGTGGATCTATTCCACGTGAAGTTAAATGGGATGTTGTTGTTGACTTATTCTTCTGGAGAGATCCTGAAGAGGTTTGTTTTATCATAATATGATGTATTAATATTCTACATTATGTGTTTTCATTATTAATCCATTGAATATATTTATTTCAGGCTGAAAAAGAAGAACAAGCAGCGAAAGAAATCGCTCCAGCTCCTAAAGACTTTGTTGCTGCTGATGCTACAGCTGATGGTGGATGGGGCAATGAAGTCGACAACGTCAATTCTGCTCCAGAAAACTGGGCAGATGATGTTCCAACAGCTCCCAATGTACCAGTAGCAGGAGCTCCTGTTGCATTTGCTGCATCAGGTGATTGGGCTACTCAAGTCCAGGATGAATGGTCAGCAAATAACCAACAAGCACCTGCTACACAAAACTGGGGAGGATCTGCTGCTGATAAGTGGACGTAAAATGAATTGAACTATTGTCAAGACTACACTTATTACAGTGATTGTATTTAAGTGGTACAAAATAAAACATTGAATACAAATTTTAATAAAAGACTACAATTATTTTTACTTCTTTATTCTAAATATGGTTATTGGTTAATTATTTAAGCTAACTAATTTTCATTTACTGAAGATTGATCGTCAAATTGGTTATACGCTCTTCCGTGAACTCTAAATCTATATATGCAAGTGTAGGTAGGATTTCCCCAATTCGATACGATTTGGAGCATCACTATTTTTATTGGAATTTTTTTTATATCTAGGCTCTACAAATTAAAGAATAATATTTGTAAATAAACTAATAATTTATTTTGATGGGAAATTGAATTATCATGCTTAGTGATTACGCACAGTTATTTCAAATGTTTGAGAAATAGGCCCATTATAATGATAGATAAATGATCCCAAAAGTAAATATTCATTCTGATGTTCACCCTGCAATTTACAATAATTATTCATTAATTTATCAAAACGTAGAGTTATTAATTAATAGTAGTAACGAAATTCGATGAGTTGCCAATAATGAGTAGATTATTATTATTATTTGCATAGCCCTACAAGTACTCGAAATTCTTTGGGCGCGGAAGTGATTGATCCTGTTAATGAAGCGGATGCTGGAATGTGTTCTAAAGTTACATGATCCACTAGAGCTAATTGTGCTAATTCAATGATAACATTTCCCTGGGATCCACGAAAAGGCCAACATTCTCCGGCTTCTGTCCATGGCTGAAATTACATAATATGATATTGCTAATTATGAAATATATAAATCCTATTATACATAAAAAAAAAATGGTACTTGAAGAATTGTACGTGGAGAACGATAATTAGGATTCCATAGAGGAATAGGAATCCCAAATAAGGATATTCGAACGTTTGGTTCATGAAACGATTCAGTATCAGGAATTCCAACTATGGATCCACCAACAGTTTCTGATGCGAAATCGGGTAAAACCTCAACCGATTTCTTATTATTGCAATAAGCTTGTAACTGTGAATTCTAGATTATAAAACATATTGTAGAATAGCAGTAATTACTCATGTACACATAAGATGATAGTTATAAAGTGGTTATGATATTTTAGTATTACCATTCTCTTTACAGTCAATTCTAAATGATGCAATTTTTCTTTTAATCGTAATATTTCTTTCTGAAGTAAAGGCATATAAAATACTGAATCATCGGGAACGGCTAAATACTCATCATGAGAGTATGTTGATCCATGATGATCATTATCATCAAAACTTTCATTATTTGTCATTAATAAACCTCCACAAATTATTAACAAACCAGCTCCAATACTCATTGTTAATAAAATTTCTAAAATAGGCTTACAAAAATAAAATGCTCTTGACACATAATATTCAATATTCACAAATAGCCATATGTCAAATTTTAATATTGCGATAAATAAATTTTTAATCACTGAAAAAGATAATTATAGAAATAAGTAATGTAAAAATAAAGTTAATTTTTAATTGATAAAGAGTAAATGAAAAAATAGTAAAAATATTAACCATTATCGCCGGCTATGTTTAATGATCTGGATGCTTTTTGCATTTTTTTTAAAAAACTATGTGTATTTTACAGCTTATTGTTGATCTATAGCAATTTGCATGTATTTAAATACAGGTTATTCCTAAAAAAAAGTCAAAAATTTGAATCAAATAAAATTTTTATAGAATGTGGACTTGAAATAAGTTTATTCATTAATTTATTCATATATAACCTATATTATTTAAATGATGCAAATGGATAGGTTAAAGTTTTTTTTTAAAACTCTCGGTTCAGCCTTATAAATTAACTTCTTTTACGTGCTTATCATTTTGTCAATATTATACTTTATTACCGTTTTTGACTATTCATATTACACTTAATTAATGTCGTGTTCATTATCAGTATGTTGCTATATTTTTCAAATTACAAGCATTAAAATAAGTTTTAGTTCGTTTATTATAGGAATATTATGAGTAATTTACAAAGCATAACATTTATATAAATCATTATTTGTTGGAGGCAACTATTATTATTCTAGTAAACATAAACAAAACATTTTCGTAATAAAACAAAAATGATTTTTTTACAAAATTTGTCTGTTTACTAATTCTTTGTATAGAATAATACATTAATTTATTAATTTACATAATGAAAATTAATTAATTCATCATTCCTAATACAATCGTCAATGAAAGAATAATAATAAACTTTATTAGCATTAAAACTTTAAAGTTCCATACAGCTGTAATAGTCAATGAAAGATATGTAGACTTATATTTCTTCCGTACAATGAAAAAATAAACAGTTGCATGACAAATTTATTTTTATACAAATTTTTGTTATTGAACAAAATAAACTCAATGAAAATAAAAATATCATTTTCACATCATAATATTAATAACTAATAATAATAGTAATAATAATAATAATTATTATATTTTACAATGAAATTTTATTTGTTACATACTTATGAATGATCAATGATAAATACTTATTTATTATTATTCATAAAATCATTTTTATTAATTTTGATAATTATTATGATTGCAGTATCATTCGAATTCCAATGTTCATATCAGATGAGGTCAGTAATTAGGCCATTGATTCATCAATATTTATTCACGTCGATTAAAAGAGAATTAAAAAAGCTATGATGTAGGATTATTATTAAAATCATTCGTCATTTTTTTTTTTTTTTATATTTTCATTTACTTTATAAATAATTATTTCTTTGATAAATAGTATTAAAAAATAATTGAGTGATCATAAGTAATAATTTATATACCTCAATTCAACTTCTGTTTACGAATGAATAATAAAAAAAAAAAGGGTAAAAATATTTGACTAGTGAGCATACGTTCTCTGTACATATAATACGGAAGAATTTTTTATTTTATAATTCTTTATTTCGTAAACTATGTAAAATTAGCACAATTATAATAATTTCGTATGCTTAAACAGTGACATATTCGGAATAAATTTTTAGTGTTATGTACTTAGTAATTTTTCATCATAATTTTATACAATTTTTTAATCAAAACTTTTAATAGATTACTGAATGTAACTATTGAACTACATGTGCAATAGTTATAGGATTAATAGTGATATTATTACAAATTATTCGATAAATAAACAAAATTGCATTTGACAACCTACAAATCTCAAAATATAACAATAAATTCAATTAACTAATTCGAATAATAATTTTTTTGTACAATGAAATCCAATTTTTTAAAATTAAGAATAAATTTAGCCATTATTATATCATTATTATTATTATGGTTATTACATTAATTATATTAAAACAAATTATAATGTGTACAATTTCGAATCATTACCATTATAGATATAATTTGAAAAATTTATGAAAGTATTTTTTTTTCTCTTCTAAAGAAAAATAATAATAACAATAATAATAGTAATAATAAGTATATGAGACGAATAATCTAATTATTGTTTTTAATAGAATTATCATCATTAATTACTAATCAATGTTATAAATTATTTCACTCTCTATCACCACGTTTATTTTCATCTCTCAATGTACTTGCACATTTGTAATCATTATGTTATTACTGTAACTTATTATTATTGTTACTATAGTATTAAGTTAATGAATTTTCAAAGAAGGGCAGTTCCTTCTAAGGCTACTGTTTTTTATCTTCATAAATTTTTTTTATTTTCATTCTCTATTTAGACTTAATTTACCTATAGAAATTCTAACAATCTTTTATTTACATTCATTATCAGCACTTGTCAATAGTCCTTTCGGTACTTATTCCGTTCATTTATTTGTAATTGTTATTTATTATTCGATTTATTATTTTTTACTCTTTATCATGCTTTTTTAAGCGAATATTATTATTATATTCTGATGATGGTAATTATCATTTACCCTGCACTTATAAGAGCAATTAATTAATTCTTTATTTGACTTTCTTCCCCAATCATTAAAGTATTTCATGCTTTCTTCATGAAAGTAAATCTATAACAAAAAGAAAGTATTTATTAAGCCATTAGATAATAAAGAATATCCTGATATTAAATATTTTAAAACAAAATAAAAAATTACAACTATGTGAGGCGATATTTATAACTATGGAATAATAATTCAGTAAAAAAAGTACCTGGTACTGGATTATTTTCCTGATTTTTATTGGCGGTGAAAGCATCATGGAACGGATTAGAATTAGAGTTTCCAGTAACATTCATGAAAGGGTTGACCATAGGAGTGAAGGGCATTGCTGCTGGATTTAAATTGGAGTTGAGGGTATCTTCGTTTGAAAAATTTGACGACAAATCATAGATAGGGCCTCGACTGCTATTATTCAATGTATCACACTCTGAGATATCTAACAGGTTGTTGGTCATGTTGTTTTGTTTGCTACAAAATCAGCCAAATAAAGCATAAAGTCGGCTAAATATAACACAGCCATATACTAAAATTAATTTTTATATTTTATTATTTACATTAACTAGACTGGTTAATAAAAGCTTATTAACTAATAAAAAACTATTTTGTTAATTAATTAATTATTCTTACTTAATATTGTAATAATAATCATTATATTTTATAAGTATTTCTATTTCGTATACATCAATAAATACATGGCAAAAGTAGACAGAGGTTGACAAAAATCAAATGTACATTTAAAATTAACGTATGCACAAAGCGAAAATAATAAATAATTAAACAGTATTTAAAAATAATATAAAAAATTGTATCATAGTCCAGTCAATATGTTTTTCGAAATGAAAGTCCGTTGAACATTAACCGATTTTGTTCATTAGGTTGTTTTTAGTGACGGCAGACATCAGTATGAATTTGTGACCACATTAGAAATGTGCTTTTTTGTTTATAAAAAATAAGCTTGTGTTTTATTAAATCTCAACTCTCTACGGGATATTTAATTGTTAACAAAAAAGCACATTTCTAATGTGGTCACAAATTCATACTGATGTCTGCCATCACTAAAAACAACCTAATAAACAAAATCGGTTAATATTTAACGAACTTTAAAATTAGGCTGTTTTTTGAAGTATATCGACTGGACTATCAGGAGGCAGCAATAAATAAATTAAAACACATGCACTCTATTAAAATGTTTAGTAATAAATAGAAGATTAAAGCAGAGGTGATTTAATAAAGGTATGAAAGCATGTGGGAAAAATTGAATTAGTGTCTAGTAAAATTTTAAGTTCATTCATTTGTTGTTTGACATTTTCTAGTTTTTTTATTTAATTCTAAATAAAATAAGTATATTCATTTTACTAAACACTATTGAAATTATATACAATTTTTATAATAGTTAATTCATTATTAAGTTTATGCTATTCACCTTTCTTTACATTATTTACATTGTTATTATTTGTCATGATATTTAACAATTAACGTAAATTAATCAATTTTTAGTGCATTAAATAACTCTGCGCATATTAATGACGATTTATTTTAAACTTAAAGCCATAAATGCTATTATTATAAATATTTTTTTCGTTTCTTCCATTAAACATCTCTTTACTGATTTATTATTGTTATTCCAATATTTTTATATTCTATATTAATCCTATTTTATATTTTTTAACATTAATATATAGCTGGACAGAAACGCCAATAAATATTTATTATAAAATATATACGTTTATGTGGATATATATGGACATATATATATGTATATATATCATTGTGACACTAGTGATTTATTAGTAATCGTACTGTTTAATTACTTAATTATTATTATAGACTTTACAACAAGAATCATTGTCAATATCAACAATATCGATATAGACTGTAGATTTGAAATTTGCATAAGTATCGCTAATCAACACTCACTGTCGACATTATCATGAACCAGAAATCGCATTCATGCTTGTCTAATCACTATTCTCTGACTACTTTTGCGATGCAGTTGAATAATTTTACAATGAGCCATTACGAGTTCTTATACAAAAATCTTTATTTGTATAATAATTCAAATATAGGCAGTATGTTTGTCAAAATTAATCTATATGTAAGACCGTTGTCAGCACCTTAATTGATCATTATCTATTTCGATTACTTATATTCAAATTTGAATAAATCTTAATCTGTGTTGTTTTTTGTATTAAAGAAATTGAGTAACAATATTTATATCTGAAGTCGAATTGATTTATCTGTGCGTCATTTTTTCAAATATTCATTTGTAAACTTTAATATTCTTCATTAATTTTTTTAATTTGTATTCATGAATAAGTTATATATTGATATAATGCTACTAATGTTTTAAATAAAAGGTGAATTTTTTTGTTACTGATTACAAACTCAATTTTAATTTAGAATAAATGTTTATAATTGCCGAGAAAATAATCAAAAATTTTTTTAAATGAGTAATTTATTTAACAAAAAAGACGGTGGTATAATATTGGCTCATTTACAAATCTCTTCTATCATATACAACTACTATTAGCCAGTATAATTCCATATTAATAATTTAACTTAAAAAAAATTATTTACATAATTTAAATAGTTTAACATTACAGAATTTTTTTTTTTTTTTGTTTGTATTGTTTTTATATTTTCAAATTTTTCTATGTTACTATTATAGTTGTTATGATTATTAGCATATTATCTTTTTTTTTTCATTTTTTTTTTTTTTGTGTTAATAATTATTTTTATTTTTCATAGCTCTTTCAAGTGATTTGAATTATTTTAAATTAAAATACTTACACAGTAGCATTGTCCAATGTAATTTGATTGGTGATTCCATTTTTGTGATTGTTCTGATTATTTGCATGATGACTGCTGAACTCATCTCCATTATCTTGGCTTGAATTATTTTCAATAATCGTTTTACTATTTTGATTGATACCATTACTGTGAGTACCATTACGCATTATATCTGTAGTAGAACTATTGTTTGCAGTATTATGATTATCTTCTTTCTCTGAATTAATAAATTGTTGAGTGGCTTCCGATATTAAACTTGTTGTCATTACATCATCCACTTTGTTACTCGCCATTGGCTTATTTTCTTCACTTGGACTCTCCTCTTTTGACTTATCACCATCACCCTAAATTTACACCAAAAATTAAGTTTCACAGAAATGGGAAAGTAGTTAAATAATAAATTACATAATAGTGATGAAGTAAATCACTTATTGGAAAATTTTTTTTGCTTTTATTACCTTTGAAGGTGTATTAGATTGGTTGTTTCCTCCACGTGTTCGCTTCATAATGGCTTCTACCCGCTTACGGCGAGCAATTCTTTCTTCTTCTTCTTTTTTCAGTCGTTCTGCCATCTCAAGTCGTTGTCTAAAATAAAGATTAAATATTTTTATAATATTTACATTAAAAATGTATTTTCAATGTAGTAATATACATAATGAATTGATTAAAAAAAATTAATTATTCAAAAAATATTACCTCTCAGCTTCTTCTCGTGCTTTTCGATCAGCCTCTTCTTTTTCTAATTTTTGCCGAACTTCTTCTTCACGTCGTTTTCTATCTTCTTCCTCTCGGCGTTTAGCATCTTCAATAGCAAGGCGTAACCTTTGTTCTTCAGCCTCTTTAGCTTCATTTGCTAAACGTAATGTTTCTTCTTCAAGACGTCGTTGCTCTTCTTCTTCAGCCTTGAGTCTTTCTGCTTCAAGACGTGCCTCTTCTACAAGTCGTTGGCGTTCAAGTTCAGCTTCTCGCTCTGCTTGTTCTCGGGCAAGTCTTCTACGCTCTGCCAAAGCTGCTTTAGCTTCTTCTTCTGTTGTAATTCGAATCTTAGCAATCATTGAAGCTGACATATCAACAGCTTCTTCAGTATCTTCATCAGCACCTTTAACTTCTGAAGATATTGATAGTTTTTTCTCGTTTTCATCTTTTTTTTCTTCTTTGGTAATCACTGAAGATTCCTCTTTAACACTTTTTTGAAGAGAAATTGAACGGTTATCCGTTGAATGAGAAATGACTTCGGATTTTGAATTATTTGTTTCAATATCGATGGTATTTTTTTCATTTCCTAAATCTTTTTTCTCATCTTGTTTATCATCAGTTTTAATAACTGTCGGTTCTTGGGATTCTTTATTATTATTCTTGATTATCTCAGTTGTATCTTGGCGAATAAGTGGCGGCTGTTCAACACTAGGACTCTGTAGAGGAGTTGCCTTTGGAGTAATACGAGGTGATGCTCTTGCACTCTTTATCAATTTGTCACTTGGCTTTTTCATTTCTTTCTCAGCACTTCCTGAACGTGATGATGCTGACGACGGTTTCTTTGGAGTTGTATGGACCTTTGGCAGTGGTGGCTTCGAATCTTTTATCTTTGCCTCCGCTGACATGTCTAAATCAAATGTAAAAACAATATTAATGGGTTAATTTTTTTGAAAAAAAAGTTAAACATTCAATTTACTGTATTTTCATGTGCAATAATTTTAACTGAGTAAAAAAAAAATGATTGATAATTAAAATTAATTTTAAAGTAAAATAATTCAACTTAATTTACTAGAAACTCATTGAATTAGAATGACATGGAAGCATAAATGATAAAGATTTTTTTGACAAATATTTAAAATTAATCTATAAAATATTGTTTCAGTGATCACTAGTTAATATCATTTGTAAATTAAATTTATTAGAGAAATAGCCAAATTTATATAGCAATTTATGGATAAAGTTTAAATGGCTTCAGCTTATGTAATAAGGAAATTTTTAAAAGCCATGCTCACTGTATCGCTCTGTGGCAGTTACACCAGTTCCGGCAATAGAAGCAGGTCGCGGACGCCGCGGGGTAGATGTGCGAGAACGTAGATTGACGTTACTACTGGCCACACTGCTGTTACTCTGTTGACTCATGGAGCTGTGGGGTCGCGATGGGCTGCTTGGTGTCACCTCACCACTCCGGATACCTATACAACCCATTTTTCATCCCCAATCAACTTCTGTTTCTTTCTTTTGTGCTTTTTAAATTTATTTATCTATATTTTTTTTTTTTATTTGACTTTATTTGAATTGAATTCATTTACAATTTCAATACTTATCTTTGTTCAACCATTAATTTATCCTTATAAAAAGACTAGTTTTTAAATATTAAAAGTTCAAAACAAAGCTCAAAAACTATATTATCTTTTTGTTATTGCTAGTGATTTCAACTACAGTTGCTATGAAAAGCCAAGGTGAGAAAAAAAAGTATAAATAAATGATTAAAAAGAAAAAAAGCTCAAAATTATAATACTTGTATAAGATTGCAACAAATCAATAATTTGGATAAAAGAAGATAAAAAAAGATAATTAACAAAAAAAAAGGTGTTAATAAAATATTCAATTGCACATTAAATACAAGTACATATAATTTTTTTAAGTGTTTTATATAATTATAAAGAATAAAATGTGTAGCTTACCAACCACTTGTCGTTTTGTTTATTATTGTATACCACCACCGATATAATATTATAGAAAAGCATAATTCACCAAGCTCAAGTTTGCCATCGACACGGGATTTTTGTTAATCAATAAAATATTATTAATTATATTTAGTTAATATAAGTTTAAATATAATAAATAATTATGAATGAATGATTTATTTTAGTTATTGATAATTATTATTAGTCATTTGATGTTACTTGAAATTAAAATTAATAATATCTATTGATTAACAAGAGATTGACTTTGGTATTGTGAAGTTAAAAGTCTCAACATGCATGCACTTGTGGCCCCAACTCCTCAGTGAAATTTTTAGCAAGATTAATGATAAATTTATCTTACAAAATTACTTTATCTATAAAAATATAAAATAATATATAAATTGATATTAGAGAAAGTATGATTTGAAATACTATGTCTTTTATATTTCAGTTAAATGTTAATGTTCAGTTATTTACAAATGCTTTTACGTTTTAAATGTTATGTTATCATTAATATTTACTCTCATTTTATATTTAAACATTTAATCATAACACGGGATGAAAAATTGAAGTTTTTATTTGTGATTTGAATTATTTTTTTGTGTAAATATGTTCAACATATGTCTACACTTTTCAGAAATATTTACACCATATTAAAATTAGAAATATATTATTTAAACTATAGTTTTCTACTATTTTTGTTTCAATGACCTACGAAAGGGACTACTGTATTTTTCAAGCCTACATATAGTAATAAATGGCCATAATAATGAAATGAATATTTACATAAATTTTTTTTAAAAATGAGAAGAGTTGAGTTCACAAGATACACAATACCTTGTTGTTGCTGTTGAGCTTGCAACTCGCGAGCTTTTCGGCGTAACTTCTCGGCTCTTGTTGACCTTGGAAGAAGGACAGCACCTGGTAATGTGCCCATGCTACGCGAATTATCAGATCGCTTAAGACTTTTAACCCCAGGCGCAGCCAAATGCGACATGCTTCGACTCATGCTGGAAGCGCCCAGGGTTTGAGCACTCTGACGGTCTTGATAATGTTGACTGTGTGGATGCTGCTGTTCAACAAGAGTTTGAAGCTCACCCGTGCGAGGCTTCCTCGGTTGTGAAAGCTGATCCAGTCTGGACATTGAGTAAGTCCTACCTGGAGATCGTGTGAAGGCCTTGGAGTTCAAAATACGACTCGTCATCTGTGGTCCATCTCGGGGTGATGGTATCGTTGGAATTAGATCTGTTCGTCGACGATTTACACGCAGGAGATTTATATTCGGTGTTCCTGGCGTTCCATCACTCTCCTCACCTGTAATTTTTTTTTGCTTAAAAATGCTACAACCAAGCAATCAATGCGATACATCAAACCGATACCAATATACAACTTTTTCTCTATTAGGCCATTTTTTAATCATCTTTTATTTAGCTTTGAATATTTTTTTTTTATTGAATTTCTAATAAATTCAACTATTAATAATTTTTTTCAAATGAAAGTTAAATCTCCAAATAAATTTTCTATATTTATATCTACTTAAAATTTTGATCAGAAGAAAAACAAAAATGATGAAGCCAATAAGGATATTTTTTTATCATGAATATAATTTTTTTTTTAATTTATGCGTTATAGATAACATAATAAATTAATTGAATGTTTAAAAAAAAATGAATTTCAATGATTTTAACTAAATATAGTTATCTTTGTGGCCATTTAAAGAACTAGTTCATTCAAGGATTATTATATAATAAATACTAAAATAAGGGCCTTACAACAACTCAAGAATTATTCAAACTAGAAATATGCTAAATATTTTTTCAATAAATACATAGGCATGAAAAAACAAACAAAAATACAACAAATTAAACTGCATGCACTGCAAGCAACAACAACACAAAAAAGTCAAAATGATCAACAAGAACAATCGACAACAACAATATTATTCTTGATATTAAATGAAGTTGTGAGTGTAATAAAAATGATATGATTAGTTATGTATGATGCTTCAATATCTGAGTGTTAGTTAAATAGAATAGAGATTATAAATTTGTAAAATGTTAGTATTTTTTATGTAACATTTCAGAGTTTAGACTCGAACAATTTTCGGTGTAATAGAAAAATTTCAATATTTTAAACATGCTATTTTATGATGATAATGTTCGATAAAAATGTAGATGATAGATAGAAGAATGTATCAAGACAAGTATAACCCAATGAAATGAACAAATTCATAAGTTTGTTCATCACGACAAAAACATAGAAAAGCGAAAATATATTTTGTTTAATAAATCAAAGTTGAATAAAAAAAAAGTGATTAAAAAGTAGTAAGTGAAAACGAATATTGTATCTCGGATGCATCAGGCTCTTTTGGCGCACTTTGGGACTCACCACTGGCCGCCCGCGGCATTGTCGTACGTTTCGTGTCATTATCCGACTTATGAATGGCAAAGATGTCAGTTGTGGGAGGCAGAGAGAGGCTGGCTCTCTTATTTTTTGCATAAGTTAGACAAGAATCGGGACTAGAATTCCAATTAAACACTTCATACATAGATGAGGACATTCTCATATCTGTAAAAAAATCATTCGACGAAAAGTCTTTTTAACACTGGTTCATTTTTATCCGTATTGAGGTAATTTATTTCCAACAAATTTCCAAATTAAATATTTTTTCATTTATAATCACCCCCTAGTTATATTGGTTTTTTTTTTTCTTTGTCCGATAAAAATAATGAATATTTTGTTCACTAATTATTTTCAATTTTTTATAAACTATTTTATTGTTCACTTTCTGGAAATTAAATGAAAATGTAGTGACATGTGTTTGGTGTGATTTGATGCGCAACTAAAAAAAGCAATATAGAAAAAAGTGCACATGAAGAGTAAACTTTTTCACACTGATTCCTTTTAAAAATTTTAAATTTAAAAAGTTGATGAAAACTTCAATCTACTCGATGAGTTCATTAAGGTTGAAAATAGTTAGAAATTATTTTTAAGTTATCAATTTACAACATTAATTATGAACTATAGATTTGAATTAAAAAAAAAAAAAAATTAGAATATTTCCCCGAAACACTAAATAATTAGCAAAGTAATAATATGTTTAATGTAAAAGTTTTTCTTACTAGTTGGATAGTATTAGACATTTAGAGTCAAATTGTACCGGACACAGCAAAAATTCATCACGACTAAAATTATTCACTTGTTAAAACCACAATTAAGAGAATCATACCTGTTATGATGTTGCAGTTCTGGGTCATCATGATAGATAATATCGATGAAATCAAATTAACTTAGAACTCGTGAAACTTGAAAAGCAAATACACCAAAAAGAAAGTTTAAAGATTTTTAAGGACTGAAGTGTCAACTGAGCGCGTCTGTAGCTCCCGAACGAATGCGTCTGGAAAACTTACGGGTAGTGGGCTACTATTTCTATTAGAGGTGTTGCTGCAACCGGGGGAGGAGTTTGCAACAAGGGGGCTGTAACTAAAATACAACGGGACTTGTGGGACTTACCCTGTGTCCAGAATCCTTGAAGAACTCTACCTGCATCTTCAAGGACATCAACTACGTCATACCACTACCTTCATTGTAATAATATGACACTACCCTAGAAGAAACTATCAATTGAGACAATTGAAATCTCAATATTGAGTTCGCTACCTGATTGTTTAGCTCCTTGAGGTCAACTTAACTAAAGCTTAAAGGACTCTACCTGAGGAGATCCTGGATGTAGACCTAACTCAAATTTCCAATCGGATTATCATTGTTAAGTATTTATTAGCCACCACGGTATGTACTCATGAATGCGAACTATGAAAATTTGTTTAAAATATATTTTGAAACTACAATTTCTAACATTCTTTAATTGTCTTCTTGTTCCCAAATTTTATTACGGGTTTGTATGATCTTTTCTTGGAGAACTAATAACTTTTAAGGTTAAATACCTGTTTAAATTAGTAAATACATATTTTTCGCCTAATTTATAGATGGAAGTTTTCAAAATAGTGATTTAAATAGAAATACAGGTATTTCATTTGAACAACTGTGTCGAAACGAACTAAGCTAGTTTTCTATATTTATTGGAATAAACGAAACTTTCTACATTATCAGAAAAAAAATAGTATGAATAATTAAAACCAAGGGTGTCAGAACGTTCAAAGAGGAAACTAATTGCAGAAGTTTAATTACAGAAGAATATAAAGAATAAATAATTCCGACCTGTATTGAAGTTGCCAAGATTTAAATTTGACCCAGCAGCAGAGTTTAGAGATAATATCCTCTACACCATAGAAACTACAAATGATAAAACAAAAAAAATATTCATACCTTCACCAGGTTTTCGATCAAGACCTCCAGCTGAAGTGGCACGCTTTTTACTACCATCCAGCTCTCGTTCAGAAGATCTTCTAGTAAGTGGTTGAGCATTTGGGAACATCATGACATTGGTTGTTGAAGTAGCTCTACGTGTTCCCCAAAAAGATGAACCACCCGTATCCGCAGGTTCAAGCATTCGAGGTGTCGAGCTTCCAAATGCAAAAACGATATGAGAACGTTCATTTTTCTTTTTTGCTTCAATTCGAGCTTCACGTTCTTGATTCTTTCTTAAAATAGCCTCTCGTCGTTCTCTTTCTGCTTCCCATATCAAACGTTTCCTTTCCTCTACTTGACTTCGTCTGAAAAAATTGTTATGTTTTTGTAATTATATTATTGATTTACTTAAACTAAAGTTAGAACAAAAAAACAGCTTTAATACATTAGAAATAAATAATCTAAGAAAGTTTGAATGTTTGAGATTTATCTGTTTTAAAGATGGAGTATGCTATATGATCAAAGTACCTATCATTATCTTTTAATCTTAATTCTTCAATACGTCTTCTTCTTTCCTCATCTCGTTGCTCGCGAAATCTTTGAGCAGCAAGTGCTTGTTGTTTAAGTTCTTCTAATTTTCGCTGTCGTTCTTCGTTTTGCCTCTCACGTACAAGCTTCGCTCGGTCTATGTCCTTTAAACTTCCCGTAGACTCTCGACCTGGAACATTATATTCAGTCATATTTTCATCCTTCATACAATAAACCATTGTTTTTTTTTTTCGTTATTTATTTTCAAAATTTTTTATCTCAACGTTATAAACATTTCAATACTTGGGTGACGTGAAAATATTTTAACGACATAAAATTAACTTTAAAATGGAAAATATGTATGGAGATGAATTTTAAATGATTGATATACTATGGCCTATCAAGACAAAATGAATATTGAATATACATGTATATTTCTACTCAAGAATAAGGACACAATTTCAATCATAATCAATGTATTGATACCTTGTTTTTCATGCAGGTCATCACCATCTAGAGAGTCTTCATCGTAGAAACTGCGACGCTTTGAATCTGTTGATTTTTTATAATAAATATTTTTAAATTTAATATGATTATTTTTATTAATATTTGTACTAAGTAATATTATTTATTTCTCAACACATTTAGATGTGAAATAAGTCTGATAGATTCATTATTATTTAAAGTAATATTTGTTAATATATGTATAAACACGAAATCATTACATACATGTTATTATTTTTTTTTTTTTTAGTAAAAACAAATAAAACCAAAATTTTTGTAAATTTCTATTTTGAAATTGGGTTTATTTTTCTAAGCTGTTAAAAGCTTTAAGCTTTAATTTAAATATTGATATTCATATTTGAATATTTTTTCAATAAAAAATTATCAGCTGTATCCAGACTCTCGAATACATTGTAACAATTGAATTAACTCTAGTTATTGTATATTATATACCATACAAATAAACATCTTACAAATGAATGCATGAATTATTAATAATTCAACAAATTCTAGTAGTCATAAATTTTCTGGAATTTGTTTATGTTACTCCAAAACTAGTTATTGTTCTCATTCATTTATTTTAAATTACCTCCATGTTGATGTAAGTTGATATTATTCCCAATATTAGCAAACCAGTGTAATGTTTGCTCTATGAAAAATGGACATATTTAGAATTAAAATTTAGGAAACAATATAATTGAATAATGTATAAAATGTCTATACTCTACAATTAATAAATAACATTTTGAAATCCAATAATTGGAAAATAATTGAATTGAAAACTCCTAGTTACTGGGATAGGAGGAGTTTGTTTTTTTTTAATAAAATATAAATTTAATTTAATGGAATAGACATACACAAGCTACTTCATCAGCACAAGAATATCAGAGAAACATTGATTACTAGGTATTTACGTTGTGTATGATAATTTGATTTTCCCAACAAGCAATACAGGGGGATAACGAAAAGGAATCAAGAGAGGAAGCTTTATTTCCTGTATCCTTATACATAAATGTTCCTGATAGATTGGCAAGAGAATAAAATTCAATTCTATGTTGCGTATTAAAAGTGATCTACCTACAGACAGTATTACTGACAGTTGAATTACCTTCTTTTTGATATTGAATATTGTGAATTGAATGATTTTATAAAAGAGAACATATTTTTTTTTTATCAAAAAAATCCATATTTCTTATCATCCTTGACTTTTAATCTTGTAAAATGAATAAGATATGATTTATATGATTTTAATAGTGCATTAATACACAGATATCTATATTAAATGTGTTTCTTGTTTACATATGTGAACAAATATTTACAAGTAATAAATTTGAATAATTTATCATTATCGAGTTAATGGAAAATCGAACGTGATCACAAGCTTAAATGGATACTTACCCTTTGTAAGAGAGTGGCGATTATGTGCTGAGCTAGACCTTTGGTTAGATTCTTCAGGAGCAGTTCCGGCTGTAATGAAAAATAAAATATCTTTATTCCATCAATTTCTTAACATTCAATAAATATTTCAATAATTGTTCATAATATTTTGTTAAATAAATTTCTTTAACACATTGAGTATCATGTTAACTAATGAATATTCAATTATATTATCAATGGTCATTATCGAAGTGACCATGAGTACACCAGTAGGTAGTAAAACATTATGAATAATTTGGCTAACTAAGCTAATCACATCATGAACGATAAGTCAATAACTGATAAGATGTTTCAAGTAGTCATTAAAATAATTATGGATACATTGATTTATTATTAAACTTTCAGATCTTTAATATGAGATAGTATAAAATAAAATGATTGAAAAAATACCACTGATGAAAAATTAGAGAATATTTTAAATAAATAATAAAACAAGATAACCAATTTAGTATGTACATTGTTTCATTTATGGTATGTTGAAATATTTTCGAATATTTTATTTAAAAAACAAAAAAAAAAGCCAGAATGTTTATTTCAGTTGCAAAGAAATACTCTATCAAATATTCGTATAAATAAAATATACGAATTCAGCTGTATTTGAATGATTGGTGATGGAATCTGGCGCGACAATACGTCACGTTCGTGAAATTGCTTGGTAAATAGACGTTGCACCAAGAGGCGGAACGTCGTTTGCACTAGTGATAATGCGATTATATGGCAGTCTTGTTCAAGCAAATGGATTTTCGATTCATTTTGTGTATCAATTGTTGGAATAAAAATATGATTTTTTCAGGCATTCACTTTATCATCATATTGATCCAATTAATAATCTAGCAAACGATTTAATCATCTTTGCATAAATGATTAAGTATTTGCAATTATCTTTAATGTATAACTATAACTGTTATATATGGTAGTTATTGCCAATTTTATGAACATATCGATGTTGGCACAGATCCTATCTGCAGTGTTTTTGCTACATTTTTTATCAAATTGATATAGTACACCATTTTTTTTTTAACATTATTGATGATTACAGTTTTTTTAATGTGATAATATTTCTAAAATATAATAGGCTTGAATTTTTGGAGTTGAATGGACAAAAATGGCCTTAAGATTTGAAGTAGATCCATGTACTATGTTGTGTGTATACATTAAATACAAGATTACATTTTAGATTTATGGTATAAATTTTATTGTAAGAGTCTATTACATAATGAAATTCTATTGCACCATAATTCATGTGACGCTACAAATTCGTGACATCACTTGTGGTATCCTAGAATTTACCAACCCCCTCGGGAGGCTTAGGCATAGTATCTGCATAGAGACAATAGTGAGCCAAGTTCCTGGTCTAGACCTCACGAAAATAATTTAACTCTGAATTCATGTCCTTTTTTCTCCATGTCTACACCACAATAAAACGATAAAAATCAATGTTCCATTATAGAAACAAAAATCTTCTTACTTTTTATTGGGAGTACTTTGTAAAGTATAATAGTCATTTGAAAAAGAAGAAGAAGAAGAAGAACACTTGAAAATACCAGAGGGAATTTAAAGAAATAATGGAAGAGAAAAATATTATAAGCATGTTGAAATGTTAATGTAAATCAGTGACGCAATTATGTATATGATAATCCATCGGCACTTTCACATTCACCTTTTTGTACATTCAAGAATGTTTGTTAACTGTTAGAACAACAAGGGATTTGATGTTTGAGAAATATTGTACATGATAATTTATATGAATGCTTAAAAATGATTGGTATAGCAATGTTACATAGAAACAAATATACCAGCATCAAGAGACAGTCTGAACTGTTGTGATATTTGAATATTATTTTCAAGTATCTTAATAAAAATCCTATATGATCCATCTGCTGCTAATTGTAGTACATTGTAAGTAGGTAATCACTGTAATGAATCCAACAATTGAAAAGCAATCAAGAGAAAATAAAAATGTGCTTGTTTTTTCTTGATTCTGATTTTTAATTATTATCAACAATGTTGATGATGATTGACTGTTGATAAAATTTATATAAAAATAGAAAAACCCAAGAATCAGATATTGGCAATATAAAATTCACTTCATATACATGAAAGGTTATTTTTTTTTTTTATCAAACAAATATTATCTATTTGCACAGGTTTAAATAAAATACTTGATTTATCCAAGAGTTCCTATCTCTGTGTCATTGTTTTAAAATGAAATTCTACCATTAGGCTAAACTTGATACAGTTGAGGGCAAAGGTACATACAAGACATAGAATGATGAGAGAAGGCTTCTCTGAGAGCTTCCATCGACCTAGAGAAAATTAGATTTGCTTTCGCTTCAGCCTGTTACATTTTCACAATATTCCTATTACATACTATACTATTCCTATGTATATACATAACCTTGTAAATGCTACCCTCATACTCTATTTGGATCCCTTTAGACGTAAAGCTTGATAGCTCCCAATTCAAACTGCCATTGGCAATCAATTTACTTGTCGCACTGCCATCATTAATTTACAACTAAACCTGATAATATTTATCGCTTCAATAATCACTCGATTATTCGTTAAATATTATTCTCATTTTGGTGTTCAATAAATGGCTTAAGCTCTTTTGATGTTTATTGATATATATTTGGATCGAGTATTAAAAAAAAATATGGATTTAATAATTTGCTCAGTTTGAGAACAATTTGTAATCAAATAAATGCTTACATATTTATTGAGTTGGCAAATGATACTACTTTGTACTGCCGAATCAGACATTTCTGCTCTCAATAGAATGTTAGTAGTGAATCGAAGTGAAATGTTAAGTCAGCAGAGATACATCAATAATTTTTTTTTAATGATGTATAAAATTTATTTCTCAATATTTGAGATTTAAAAATAGTTTTTGTTTAAGTAATATAAAGTCTAAAAATATTTTCAAGTTTTTTTTAATGTATGAAAAATGAGTGGAAAATGTTCAAATTTTGAAGTGGAAATAAGTCTCTCTTATTGTTGACTAAAAACAAGAGAAAAAAAAAACTAATATTTATAAAAGATAAAAAAATGTTGGTGATTGTAACTTTTTATAATGAAAAAAAGAAAGAAAAATTTCAAGATATGAAAAAAAAAATGTTTTCGATATTTTTTTCTTTTTAAGGATTTCTTTATTTTATTTTTTTACCTTCATCTCCTGACGTGGACGAATCGTCTGGATCGGTGGATGAACCCGATGAGTTTTTACGCTGTTTTCCATACTCGCGACGATATTCGTAATAAATGTTTTGGTTTTGTTCGTTATACATATGAACTCGATTGCACGACAATGATTTATATTCACGAACGTCATCAGGGACCGAATAGTAGCAATTCCCACGTCTTCTTATTTTCAATTTTTTTTTAACATTTGTCAGTAGAGTGGTACGTTTTCTAAATAAAGATCGAATTTGTTAAGTTTCTTTCAAAAATACTGTGCTATTAAAATGAAATAAAAACAAAAAATAATTAATAACTACTTAAAAAATAAAAAAGATGGTAGAGTCAATTACAGTTTAAAAAGAGGTCTATTTTTAATTTTCATTGCATTTTTGAAAGGTTCATGTAGATAATAATTGACCCCACAGTTCTTTATTGTAATGAAAAAAAAAAAGTATAAGAGTTATTTTGAAAGAAACTCTAGTAAAACGTACTCCACGTGCTCGACATGAAGTTTCTTGAAGGGGATTTCTTTAGAGTCTTGACTTGTGATGATAGTAGGTCCTTGATGTGCATGTTGCATAAGTCTAGCTGTGTTGCTAGGTGACTCTCCGACGTGATTATTGGCACAGTTGACATCAACCAATTCAATGTTGACTGTAGTTTTGGCTTCTTTGGCTGGTGAAGGTGGTGGTGATGTTGATGGTGAAGTTGATGGTGGTGATGAGGAAGGACTTCCTGTACGACCAGCACTGTAGCAGACTGCAGCCTTTCGGAGAGTCTCCCTACACAACTCAGAGAACATTTTGTCTCCCCCATGGCCGGTCCTTACGGACCCTTACGTGAATCGTAATCTTAATTTTTTCTTCATTAATATATGGATCCAGATGATTGATAGCATTCTTGTAAACTCCATTTTTCACGTCACACTATTAAGAGTCACGAACTTTTTATTCCAACTGGAAAATTTAACTGTAATTTATCTGATTTATTTGAAGATTGCAGGCTTCGCATCTTAACTTTGTAACTCGGTCACTTATATTACATTGAACGATTTAGCTACTCAACTGGAACGATACTAAATTAATCTCCAGCACGTTCGATTCATCTACTGTCCAATTTCGAGAGCGTGACGGCTTCGTTTGCATATACCAAAATTCCAAAAAGTCTCTCTCGACCTTGGACAGAAAAGTAGTATTATGTTTTCGATTGAACTTACTTTAAACAGTATCTTGTTGTGTGACTCGTTGATTTGAAACATTGAGTTGGTCGAAATACTTGAAGGATCAGAGGGTGAATCAAGGTTATCACGAGAGAAAAGCTTTGGCACTGTGCCAGTACACAATAAATATCAAACAAAAGTTATACATTTTATTGTTAAGTTAAAAGAAACACATTTCAGTGTGTGTATGTGTTTGTGGTAATCATCCAGTTAATGCTTTATCAAAATTGTCATTTTCACTAATTGTAAAGCAAAAATAATTATTCATCTATGAATTTAAATAATCAAGCTTTAATGAAAGCTTCCACTTTTTTGTAAAAATAATTCATCACATTTTTTGTTCCTCATTGTGATTGATAAGTTGCAGCATTTAATGATGTAAAACTGTCAAACAATAAACAAAAAAAAAATAATAATAATAATGGAAAAAGCTATTTATGGAACCGAAATAAGGTTTTGATAGGCTTTTGGAATGAAATATGTCATTGTCATTCAATCGTGAATGAAATAATTAAAACTCTATTAATGTAACTAAATGCAGCTATCGTGTAGTTATGAAGAAACACGCGAATTTTACATGGACGTCTTTAATGTGTATTATAAAATGTCTGAAACACGCGAACGTTCTATTCACGCGTACACGTGACTTTTAGTTTAGTCTTTCATTAGTCTGATAAAATAGAAGAAAAAAAGGAAGTAACTGCAGTGGCAAAGTTGCTTAAGGTCAGATGGTAAACGATAGGGTTATACGATGGGAATTTAATGACGGTGATCGTTAGGTCCGGAAAGTTTCATTCCCAGGCCAAGAGATCCGGACGTACTCTCAAAAGAATGATAAGAGCTGAATTGAAATGGAATTTGTACCGGAATGTTCTTTAAGCTATTGTTCATATAAGATCCTTTTAAAGTATAACTACAAAATTAAGAAAGCTCAGTAATGGTTTTTTCTTTCAACAGTCTCGGTGTTGACATATATTTTTTTACAGCTCTTTTGAAAGAATTAAAAAAAAATCAAGTTACACTTCAGGAATATTTTTAGAGTAAATAATACAACACATTGTTTTTTTTCTTCCTTTTTGAAAAGATTTTTCTGCTAGAAAAATGATGTGACATGAATTATTGATAATCCTGAAAAAACTGTTTGCTGAGCGAATAATTTTTTTTTTTTAGGACAACTAAAACCGATAAGTGGACTTTTTGTAATGATTAACGATTATTTATGAGCGGCAGTTATCATCAATAGTTCACAGAAAGATTTAAAAAATATTCCAGGTTATATTCACTGTTGAAATTATTCTGGAGTAGACAGAGATAATGGATGGATTTTTTTGTTTGCATATAATAAAGAAATGACTTGAGAAAATATATTTAATGTATAATATAACACAAAAGCATGAGAAACATTTTAATCAAAGCTTGAGTATCACTTGATGATCAATGAAAATTCACCGTAATGACTTTAGTATCATGGCTAAATCATGAAGGATTATTTGATTTAACACACGAGGTGATGTAAGGTAAAATGTCTATTGAGTAAAATCCTCGTGGTTTGAGGGCGCGTTTATCCGGGAATATGGATAAGCGTCAACGAAGAATGCCGGGTGATCTTCGGGCGAGAACTAAAAGGGTAGATCTTTGTCGCGCCGCGAGCAAGGTAGAAAGGACGTGCGCGAATGTCTCGAGAGAGGGATGTCGACCAGTTAGAGGAGTAATAGGGGTGGGAGAATTTACCCTCTCTTTCTTTCTTTATCAAAGTGGTATATATGTGTGTTTGCTACCCCTTCGTTATGAGGATCGACTCACGTACGAGGGGTAGTACGTGATATTTTACACCTATAGAATTTATCATTTCTTTTTAATTTGGACCTTTTCTTTTTTTTTCTTTCTATTGTAAGATCCATGAAGAAAATGTACAAGTGGAAGAAATTTCACGGATCATTCCCTTAAATAACGTTATTTCAACGAGATTATATCGTACAATATGCTTTCACTGATTTAAATAGCAATTACTGATCCTTGCACGTAATTGATAAATTTTGCTAATTATAATCAAAGTGATAGTGATTATTACTTTGGATGAACATTGGAATTTTAATTTATACCAGACTGGATTATTATTATTAATGATGAATAATTGTTTTAAATTTAATTATAGACCAACAAAAAAAAAAAAATTTTAATTAATTAAATGATGAAATAATTCTCAAGTGTAATGTTGAAAAAAAATTTCAAAGAAAGTTCAAGTATGTGAAAAATTTTTTCAAACGAAAAACTAGAGAGAAAGCAAAAGTAGAGAGCGGGAAAAAAATAATTAATTTTTTATTTTATATATATATATTTTATCTACTCTAACGTACGCATGATGGATAGTACATCAAGACCCGCCATTTTCGCGATTCTCTCTCACTCTCCTCTTCTCTCAACGCGTTCGCAACGGCGCTCTTGCATCGATCAGCTGCGTCGCCATCTCAGTTTCGTTTTCGTTAAATTTTCTTGAATTTTCCTTAATTTTCCCTAAATTTATCTCGACAAATATTCCATTAATTTTTTATTTATCTCCAGATAAGGATAAAAAATTGGAATTATTTAATATCTTTTGATATAAAATATGTTTAATTATTGATAACAATTACCCCAATTTGGAAACTATCATGGAACAGTAACTGCGAAAATGGTTGACACATGGTTGACATTACTACTTATGATTATAGAGATAATTTATAAGGGTAATGAAAATAATATATTAACAATATTTAACGATATTCAAGCATAAAGAAAAAACCTTCAAAAGGATCATTCAACTGTAAAGATAAGAAGAAAGCTGAAGGATTCAAAGGAAAAGTTATCATCTGAAATAATTTTTTTTGATATTTGAGCCGAGTAAAGACGGATTTAAAGTTGCTATATGAATACTCTAGTGGTTGTAGAAAATCGATAGTAACTTTTCCGGTGCTTTCACTTTTTTTCGAAATTTGTATTCAACTCTTATCTCATATCAGACATTGGAAACTCAAATAAAAATTATCTCATCTTGTGATTAAATAGATTAATAATAAAAATAATGACGATTAATTATTATTTTATAACTACTTTCATACATTGGATAATCAAGTTATTTATTTTTCTTAAACAAATATTATTAATAATTAATTAAAAAATATTCAGCTACGACAATATTTGTTAATAATTATTTAATAAACTTTTTCAGTAATTAACTCATTGTAGGTCAAAGTAAAAATTTTTTTTTTTTTGCTTAATATACATTCAAACAGAACACTTGAACTTTTTATTACTATAAACTTCAATTTAATCATAAGCTGATAATTAAAAAATAACATATTTTCATGAATATTTAATTGGTTTTAATGCTTTTAATCTTAAATGTCATTCAAATCAAAAATTTGATATTTAATCATTGAAGCTCTAACATTGACACAGTTTCATCGTAAAGCTTTATCAATTTTTAATAAAATCATACATAATTTTTTTTTCAATTTAGCAGCTTAATTGTCGATATTTTCCAAGTTTCTTTTTTTTTTAGAATTCTATCCAAAGAAACTTGTAATTATAAAAAAAAAAAAATGCAAAAAAAAAAACTAGAGCAGTAAAACAAAAGAAAAGAAAGGTTGAGTTAGACTGTTCTGGAGAAAAATTATGGTGCCTCGAAGCAAGACATTCGAAAACTTCCCAATTCAGTAGACTATCTGCTGAATTATCAAATACTTGTGTTTTACACAATAGAAGGATTAGATAACTATACTCAAGCAACGTTATCCGAATATTCACTGGAGTGCATTTATCTCCACTAAATGTGACACGCGAAATCCAAGCTTTTCATTTATTGGACAGTTGTGAATTCAGTAGACGTTTGTATAGAAAATGAAACATCGAGCTTTCCCAACGAATATTAGGAAAATGATTAAGACTACTGAATAAACATTTTCTGTCACGATTTCTCATGAAAAGGATCAAAGAAGTTTTGAATATTTTCAACGTGAATTAGTGAGTAATTTAAATGAAATCGATTTCACAGATGAAATAAATACATATTTTTGAATATATCCTTTTCTTGGGATCAAGGATTAAAAAACAATTTACAAGTAACCTCAATAAGAAGAAATTTTTCAATTTTCGTTCATCAGTATGGCAAATTTATAGGGAGTGGTAGAGCAAAAAGTATGGTCGAACATATTTAATTAGAAATGGACAGGAGTGTGGTCGCTCCTTATAAAGAAGTGTATCTCTTTGGTGAGAGCGAGCTCCATTAACTATATAGGCTTGTGGTAATATTGTCATGTATATAAGTACATAGTATGTGCAAGTAATAATATTTTTTTTATCAAATGTACACAGGTATATTATTATATACAATGTAAAAAATTTTGTTAAACTGTCCATTTTTTATTGCTTTATTTTAGGACATGTCAGAGAGGACTTGACTATTTTTAATCTAAGAATATATTGAAGTCAAATAAATCATTACAGCTGGAAAAAATTACAAGTAGCATTAAGCAAAGCGGATCAGTGAATCATACGAGTTTTTAAAGTAGAATTAGTATATACAAGTGTAGTCATTGATTTATCACAATTTATTTACTGAGTAATACATAATTTCATATTATTTTATACATACGTAATTTTGTATTTGTGGTTGTTTTAATTGTTGTTGGATTCAACAGATACTCACCTGTAACAGAAAAAAATTTTTTTATTAATTAAAATAAAAGTAAAAATATTTTTAATATTAAATAAAGTTTAAATGAAATAAAAATTAATTATTATTGAAATATATATTTCATTTTAATTATTTTATCCTCTCTTTATCAGTCGATGAATTAATTTAAGTATGAAAGTAATAAAAATACTTTATATGTATCTAAATTCTCGTGATTTTCAATATAACTTATCATATCAAGTTAAAATAGTCATTCTATATACAATGACACATAACTTTATTATCATTTATTATCATTATCTTTGAATGTTAATATTTCTTGTTATTTTGAAATAAATACTATTTAAATGTCAGTAAAAAGATATTGAGACCTTCTCTAAAGTGTACTTTTCGGCTTCGTAATCTCAGTGAGTGATTCACTTGAGGTAGATCATATGGACCAAGATTTTCCTTTGATAAGGAACTCACTAGAATTCCTCTCAAGGTAGCTAGAGTACTACTTGGAATTCCCCTATCCATTTTGCCAGTTCCCATATTCTCCTTTTTCCTTTTTCACTTTCACACGTCATTCGATAATAATTTTATATTTCTTAACAACATTCTTAATTACACTTCACTTTATCATCTACACTGAACTTTCATATCACTCGTCTTCATCATCAACTATTATATTTCAGCAATAGTTACATACTTTAATTTTTTTTTTATATACATTTATCCAATTTTGGTCATATTATGTCATAAATAAACATTTTTACAATTCACTAATTGACTGAGCAAATAATTTTCTAAAAAAATATTAAATTTATTGTACAATGTAAGAGATAGCATTTTTGTATGACTTATTGCTTATCCAATTAAAAACCGGAAGTGTTAACCGTTGTTTATCGTTGACAAAGATTAATATTTAAGGATTTAAGTTGATGTATGACTCAAATGTTAATATAAGTGGAAAAAAACTAAATTGTGCAAATAAGAGTTAACAATAAGTGCATAGAATGTTAGAGTAACTGAACAAATTGTCATCTTAATGGACAACAAAACACCTCAAGAGGAAGGCATGCACAGAACTAAATGAGCTTCATCAAATGTTCCATGTACTGTTATTCATATTTTTACCGTTAATATTTTTTCAACTTCATAAAATATCTAAGTCAGGGATTTAATCAATGAATTAGGTATTGAAGGAATCTACTTGTCATTGAAATTTCTTTGGCAAGAGATCAACAATGAGAAGTGTCTCCCACCATCAATGGTCTACGTCATGCAGTGATTCAAGATCTTTTACGTCGTTGACTATAAATGCATCAGAACAAATAACATAAAAAAAAAATTACATTAAAAAATAAAAATTAAAGATGATTAGTAAAAGGTATAATCTAATTTCTGAGTTGTTGGGGTTAATAACATTTATTAAGTTGCTCACTTTCTTATTCTCTCTATAATAAAATTAATAAATTACTGTCCAGTGAATAAATTAAATGATAGAAAATATTAATTGACAAATATAAGCACAGATTCTTTTTATAACTAAATAATATTTATTAATAAACTTGGAAACTTTGATGATATTTTTATCACACTTTGAGTTAAATTAAAAAATATTGATAAAGCACCAATTAACTATTATGATAATTATTTAAAAATCATAGACGTGTGTTATTGTCAAACGATAAACGAATAATGTTTAAAGATAAAAACAATACTTGAAAAATGAAAAAAGAAAAGCGACACGACTTCAGACATGTCTGAATGTACGGCTGCCTTGTACAGAATAAACTGGTATGGGCACTTGGCGATATCCAACTCTTGGCTGTATACCTTCTATTCTATTTGGCCACACGGCAACGTGCTTTCGCACTCTACTCCTATCTCATTTGTCGTTGATCGAATCTTTTCCTCAAGGTAGTAGGGAGGGAAAGTCATTCGAAGATTCGACAGTACTATGTAGTAGTGAGTGAAATAAAGTTTAAAACGAATCAACACTCAATTTCTAATACACATCTTTTTATGCTGCGTTGAAATCCTCTTTAGAATTTAAATTGCTTGGAAAAATATTTCTTGAGTCCACTTCCTGTCTGATCACTTTCATTGAAAAACCCGTTGAAAAATAAAAGGAGAGGAAGAGATTGAGATACTTGCATAAATAAACTTTGATTTCCTCATACTGATAAATTTTTTTTTTATAATTAGATATTATTTTTCTAACAATTTGCACTACTTGGATACTTTCTGTTTGAAATGTAGATTATTTTAATTGTCCTATTCCAAGTATATAGTCTACTCGTGTTGATGATTCTCCAAAAATAAAATATATTTTATTATAAAATATATTTTTAAAAATTTGGAGAAATTGGAATTTTTATGAATACTGACGTCATCCTGACCACTTATTATAATTTTATCTTTATTTTATTCTACCAAATAGTCAGATATGTAAGCTTTTGAAGGTCTCTCGATATCAGGAAATATAATACAGATCAACTATTTTTTCGATCTTTTATTAGCATTTTCTTCTTATTATATAAGAAATGTTTTAATTGATCCAAGTAATCATTCACAGAAATAGTAATGATGTAGAAAAATAGAAAAACGACATTAGACATGATAAGAATGTGATTCCAATCCTTATGTGATAACTTAATCTATCGTAAGGATATCAAGTGAAGCCTCTTTAACACAAGGAGGCGTGTGAGGCAACGAGAGCACCAACGACTTTTTGTTTTTCTCACGAGTAGACATACAGATTGTGGGGCCTTGAAGAGTCAAGTCTCAGAGATTGAGAGGTATTAAAAGGGAAAGGAAGACAGGGATAGAGAGCAAAAGTAGTAAGACTACGTGATATAGTAATGAAAAGAAATAAAACAACTTTTGCTGCACACGACGCAAGGTCGTTGAGAATTTAAGAGCAAAGTATGCAAGGTGTAATCAAGAAGCGACAAATGTAAAGACACACCTTAAATTTGTTTCAAACTATTATGGTACTTGAATACTTCTAATTGATTAGTCAAAAGATTTCCTAATAATTTCAAGCTCATTTATCACTCACTAATAACCTGGACTTTGATGAAATATTATTTGTCTTTAATAAATATTAAAAAATTGTTAATCATTAATAATAAAATTATTTATAAATTTAAAGATGATCGAATAAGGAAATAGTAGTATTAAAAATATGTGTATAATATTAGAGAATGAATATTTATTAGTGACGACATCATCATGATTCTTTAAATTCTTATGATAAATATGGGTATCATATGAATTTGATGACGAAGAAATAAGAATTATTATATAAACAAGTATTAAATAAATGTAAGTAGGTAGATAGTACATATAAATATGTCAATAAATTCTGAAATATGTAAAAATAATTTTAATTGCATGTTTTATTGTGAAAAATTAAAATTACAAATTCATTAAAGTATTTTAATTAAATGGATACAGATGTATTCGTCTGTATATTAAAAAGTTCAAATAATTAAATTCAAGTAAATAATTGTTGCTAATTGGTAACGGTTTATTGTAATTAGTGAAATTTTCGGTTGAGTAAACACCAGACTGATTATGGCAACTAAAAGATAATATGTATGATATGTGAAGTTGATGTAGACTTCTAGTGAACATTACATTAATAAAGAATAAAGTAATAGGCAATCTAATTACACAGTATATTTTTAAATTTACCAGAAACTGAATTAATGTTTGAGTAACACTTGATATGGTCTTTTCACTTTTTCGTTTCAGTACAACTAATTGTATATTAATTAAACATACTCTATGATTAATGTTGTGACTGCGAAATTTCGATAAGAGAGAAATCAATCCTTAGAAAAATTTTCTTTAATTAAATGTTTTAATTATTTTTATCAGAGAATATTTAATGAGAAGACTTTTAAAAAATGATTAAATTTATTGCTAGAATAAATTAAGCAAGTTTTTTTTTATTTAATAAAAATTGTTTTTTAATTTTAATAAAATTAAAGAAAGTAATTGTTTTTAAATGTATGTTGGATATTTGGATAAGGGTGATAAATGATCATGAAATTGTTTCGCTTCAGTTATCAGTAGAGAATCGTTACCAACTACCGAAGTCTGTTATTATCGACGACGTTCCTGAAAATTTTCTACTTTAACACAGAGAGGACACTTTGCTCCAACATTTAGAAGAAATCTGTCGTATCAACATTTACACCTTTAAAATTAAGGTAAAATACAATATTATATAATTCTTTTTTTTTGTTACAATTTTTTCAATAGATACTAAAAATGATTATTACCTAGATAATTTATCAAATGACATTGAAAAATTATTAACAATAGTGAGCAGTGTGAAGGATATATTTTAGCAATAAATGATGAGCTAAAAATGTATGAATAATAAATACAAGTTGATTTATGTTAAATATAAGAAAAAAAGAAAATTCTAAATATAAATTGAAGAAGATGAACTTTATAGGCGGTGTCTCATCCTCCCTACGTATTGTATAAAAAATATTGTAAGACTTGAGTGTACATTGTGTATGGCACTCCTTAAAAATAATTTTTCAATTATAATGCGTTGAGCTATCTCTTCGAATTCAAAAAAATTATCATGATTAAAATAAATGAGAGGTTTTTCTCGAGACTAAATAATAATTTAGCCAAGTAACAATTGAATGAATACATTGTAATTTAATTTAATTTTTATGTAATAATCAACCTTAGATTATAATTTACGAATTTTTATTTAAATAATTTCTCGACAAATTTATCATAATTACAAAGTAAAAAAATATTTTAAGCGAAATAAATTTAATACTATTACGAGTATGTTATAATTAATTTTAAATATGAATAAGTTATTCAACTGGATAAATAAATATGCGTAATTCACTGAATATATTGTTAATTTGTATAAAAGATATATTTAAACTTTCTAGATAATTTTAAAATATAACTTGCAAATGAAAAGTCTTTAGGAATATAATAGAATAAATACAAATAGACTAAGTATTCGTGATACACGCGATGATACATTGCATTACTAGAGGTGAGTTTACATGAATTCTAACACAAGTGGTAAAAGTTCTAAGGACAATAACCGGTCGTCTTATTGATTCTTTAAACTGGACACGCGCGTTGTCAATTACATCTGGTTAAATAAACTTAATCAATAATAATAATAATTTTAAGATTATTTCTCAAACGCATGTTGTTGAGTTTAATAATCCTTTCATTGACCCTACATAGATAGTTTCAACTTAAAAAAAAAAATAACAACTTGTAAAATGTCAAGATAAATTTGCAATAAAGAGATAAATATACATTCCTACTCAATTGGTTTTTGTATCCTTATAAGTAAATGATAATTAGTGAAATATTTGAATTAAATGAAAGTTGGACATGCTAACAATTTAACTAATTATTTTAAAAAAATTTTTTAATATTACTAATTATATTATTTTGAATAAAATGATGGTTTTTGTAGAGAAATATGGTAAAATTATATACAATGGCTATTTTACAACATTCCACACAAGTGTCCTAATGACAAACAAAATGTGAGGTCAAGAAAAGAAAAGGTGAAGAAAACGAGTTGAGAGAAAAGATTCTTAAGATGTGAATCACGTCTAGAAACATACTATGAGTTTCATTTTGTTCATGTATGAAACGGTAGTCTGAGTATGATTACATGCAGGTGGCCTTTGCACTTGTGGTATTGTATAGAAAGTCAATGTATTTGAAATAAAATAAAAAATTCATACCAACCTAACAGCCCTTAATATTATTTCTTTACAACTCAAACCATGAATAACATGATTTTAGCAAGAATTATAGCATATAAAAAAGCATTTACAGCAAATCTGTTTGCTTCCTGATATTCAAGATTAAATGTTTTTTTTTTTTCATGTTTTACAATTACATCTCATTACACCACTTTTGATGCTTAATTTCATGCCTTCGGAGATGTAGAATACTACTCTCTAATCTTAAATCAAGTTTAACCTCAATTTCGTGTCTAAAATTATATTTTAAATAGAGTATTTATCATAGAGTTTAATATTACATCAAAATTTCAAACCTGTCTTGAGATATAACGTTGTTTTAATAAATCAAAAATACTTGACAGAAAATATTTAAAATAATAGTATCACATTCATCAAACCTATCATGATGTTTATCAAATCATCATCTTTAAGATTTATTTTTATCTTGACTTTTACAAAACAATACAAAATGTCCCAGTTAGTTTGTTATATAGTTTAGATGTCAAGCATATTATTAAAGCTCAATAACACAGTGTAGTGGAAAAACTTTTACAAATAGTAAGTAATATGATGCTGTCAAGATAATGTTATCCGTAGATTTCTCTTAAGAAGCATAAAATT